CCTTTTAGTAACGAGTATTTTAAGCACGAGCGGAGCAGAGCAGAGCGAGTGTTTAATAAACGAGTGTCTAGAAGAGTTTATAAACGCGTTACATACTATGCTTTTTCTACGAACTCCGAAAATTACATTAACATATCTGCTATTCCTGCTAACCTACAAAATAATTCGAAAGGAATGGGAATTGAGAACATAATACATGCAACTGCATGCAACCAGCGAGACACGTATAAGTAATATTGGTTGTAGATGTGTCCAGTCCATTGCTTACTAACCTTTGTTTCACGTTTATTGTCATGCTTAGCGCAGAATAAATAAATTGTTCTCAAAGATGGATGCTGCATTTTTACACTTCTTGGAGATATGCAAGCAAGGCCGATCCTAGGGTGTCGGCCGCCCGCGTGCATAAACCTAATGTGCCGCCCCTCTAGAGAATTTTTCATATTTTTTAACTATAATACCTGATGACTTTATAACTTCAACTACTTGTACAAGGATAAGAAGTAAAACACAGAAAAAAAATGTAGACAAAATCTTCATGCGCCGCAGGCGAATTTTTTCTGAGTTCAAGGTCAAATGCTTTCAGGTAATAACTCCATTTCAGTGCATACCGGGAGCGGCCAAGAAACTCAGACAAAATTTTCCTATGGCAAAAAATGCGCCGCAGGCGAAATTTTTGTTGGGATTCAAATTCATCACATTAGTATATTACAGTTTATTGTAATTGATATAAAATGATCTGGAATCTGGAAATAGGAACAATAAGAAGAGCAAGCGAAAAGTATTTTAAATGGTGTCTGTAGTTTAACCAAGTGGATGTTCTCCAGATTTTTTGGGATTTTCTCTCATAGTCTCTTAGTAAGTAGTAGAAATGCATAAATAAGCTACCGCACAGTGATGGAACAAAACATCCTTAGGCGTCTGAAAAATATGCCCCTTGGTTATTGTTTCAAATAGAAATTTAAAATTTGGGAAGATAAGAATGTGTATAAAAAGTAGACATTAAATTGACAATGGACCAACACACTATTTACTATCATTTTATTTTTTCAAAATGCAGCATATTCATTCGACTTATGAGTTTCAAATAATTTTGTTTGATAGGACAATATGCGGCCTGCGGCCGCCCCTTGTTTTGGCCGCCCGCGTGCGGGGCACGCGCTGCACACCCGCTAGGATCGGCCCTGTATGCAAGTACCAGAACATTCTCTTCGATTTCACTTTCGTCTACATTTCGCATATATTTTTAATGAAGAATTCTGGTACAAACGAATATTGTTTGAATAATTCTGATACAAAATATGAAAATAACAGTTGACAGTTAATACAATTGACAGGCCAGACATGTCTCGAATTCCTGAAGCTGTGTTTAATGTACTGCGTTGCCATGGTAATGTGTTTAAGGAATCGTGTTGCCATGGTAACGTGTTTAATATTTTGATTAAATCACAGATCGACAATCCGTGATTAATCGATCATTTAGCGTGGTACATATCCGTACGATAAATGCCATTTTAGTTATGTGAGTAGAAAAAAGTATTTATTAACTTACTCTTCAAAATGCACTATTCGAGATACAGGGTGTTGAAATTAGAAAAAAAAAATCGTTTTTTGCGAATATTTCTGGAACCCTTTATCGCAGTTTTCGTAAACATTTTCTATACTCATAATGAGCTGTTTTGTGCAGATTTTTTTTATCAGGTCATAATTGGTGAAGATTTTGAAGGGGTAGTGACTGTTTTCCTCCCCAACTTCTACGCCACTGGAAGAAGTACAGTTTTGAGCAATCCATTTGAACTGCCAATATTTCCTACACAAGAAAGTTATTTTTGGGCAAGGGCTCTAGATTTGACTGTTTTAGAAAAAACTCAACTTTAATTGAGTATGATTTGCTATTGATATTTTTTGTTCAATTTTGTAATATCAAGTTAACCTTTGGTTTTGTTACTCGTTCTAAAGTTTAAATAGATTTTGTTTGGTTGGCAAAAAAAAATTTTCCAAGAATTTACCATCATGATTTTCAACATGAAAGTTGATTTTTCTCAAGAACGGTCAACTTTAGAGCTTATGACCACGAGTTCCTTTTTTGTGTAGAAAATATGGGCCGTTCGAATGGGCGGCTCAAAACTGTACTTTTTCCTGAAACACTCTGTATACAGTGTCCCCAACAGAAACACCTTAATAAAATCTATACATAATTTCATTGAACTTGCTTTTCACCACACTTGTATGTTTGTATATGCGTAACGGAATCTTCGAATGTGATTTTGGCCCACTTAAAAACGTGGTATTGAATTGAAACTTCTCACATCTTATCAGGGACAGATCACAATAGTGTAATTTAGAAGTTTGGTTGCATTATCCCGATCAGAATCTTCCGGATGGGCGATTTTTTTTTTTCAAATGAAATGGTGAATGTTCCACCACCATAATTTCAAAATGTTCCTTCGCCAAAAGTTCAAATGTACGTTTTTATGCCTTCGAATAAATTTTTACGACGCTTTTTATATCCAGAGAAACGACAGTTTCATTCCTTTATTTTCTACGTGTAGAATTTCGAAATTATCATCAAAACTATGGTTTTCTTCTAATATATGGTTGGCGTATGTTGAATTTGTTTTCTTTTTCGAAAAAGTCATCTTATGTTCATGAATGCGCTGATTAAACGTACGACCTGTCTGACCAATATATACCTTAGGACAAGATCCACAGTTGAGTTTGTTCTTATCATCCTAGTGGTACTGGCCATTTGGTTTCAGAACATCGAATGTGTGGTGGAATGTTTGGAATGTTTGACAAAAAATAGATATTTACGTTACTAGTCCGGTAAGTACACTTTTACAGTACGAGTGAGATGTTTACGGACGAGGCGCAAGCCGAGTCCGGAATTTCGAAACGAGTACTGTAAAAGTTTACCGGACGTGTGACGTATAACATTTCATTTCATACTGCTAAAAAACAAAAATGAACAGTGAAAAATAAAATATTAATCTATTTATCTGCGTCCAGTAATTTCAGAATTTTGCATTCACTCCCAAGATAGCTGGCAGGTAGTTTCCTTAGAAACATAATTTTTGTTTTAAATGATTCAACATGGAGGAAACTTTGTTGAAGTGCTACAACAAAAAAATGAAAATGTATCAGCAAGTAGCAACTCCCTAATAAATAATTCATCCAATGGAGCTCCTGGTATCCATATTCATGGGAACGAAAATTTAACGGTTAATATTAATATTAGCAAAAAGTAATTTCTGTGCATTGTTTTACTGTTGAATTTTTAATAAATGTATTCATGCTTTTGACGCATAACTGAGTTTTCAATATTTACAATCCGGTAAAATTTCATTACGGGATATAGTAGCACGTAATGAAATATTACGTGCGCCTATCCTGTAAAAGTCTATTTTCCGGATTGAAATCAGGTACGTAAAGGTATGTTCTATGGTGCAGTATGAAAAAAAAGTATTTGACATGCATCATATTAATTTTGTTGCAATCAAAAACATTGAGGAAAAATAGTAGATACGGAATAGGGAATAGGTAGGTACTCCTACTGAGGGTAAAGATGAGCCAACGAAAGTGGAAAACTGTGCATATAACTTATGGAAACATTCAGGAGTCATTTTGAAATGGCTCTGAAAGGTACCTATTGAATCTCGGTATAACAATCTCATTAAAATATTCACCTTTTGGGACTCCTTCATTACATGTTCTGAAAAAGGTCAGTATGAAACATTCATTATCCTGGATTTATTTATGTTTTTTTTTATCGCTTGGAGCGCACGAAAGGGAATCCCTATAATGTTCAAAGAACATCGTGCGTTCCTAGGGAGGATAGGGACAGGAGGTAGGTATTGGAATTTTTTTTGAACTTTTGGAGATTATATGTTGTTGGGAATACTTCCACAGGCAATGAATTCCAGAGCCTAGCCGTTCTATGGATGAAGGAGTCTTGATAAAGTGCTGTTCGACATCTTTCGAGGTTGACAACGGAAGGATGTGCTGACTGGGCTTGTCTAGTTCGTCTGATTGGTATCGCTAGTGAAGGGATGATAGCAGAGATTTCCGAAGAACATTTCCCGTGGAAGTATCGATAGAAAAGAGAAAGGTCGCCGACCTTTCTACGGTGTTCCAATGATGTCAAAGAGTGAGTGAGTGTGGCGTCACCCACCAGGCGAATGGCTCTTCTCTGGATGGAATCTAAGAGCATCAGCGTATGTTTTGGTGCTGAACCCCATATGTGGGAACAGTATTCTAGAACAGGCCGTATCTGCACTTTGTAGATCATGAGAAGCTGTTGAGGTCTAAAGTCGCTTTTCGCACGGAACAAGAATCCGAGTTTTTGTGAAGTTGCTTTTGCGATGGATCTGACATGATTATCCCATGAAAGAGTGTTGGTGATGGAAATACCGAGCATAGATATGGTGGGCTTGGTGGGAATGGTGGAGCCAGACATTACAATATCGGGCATACTGAGTTCCGCCTTTCTAGAGAAAATGCAGGCTTGAGTTTTGGTGGCGTTGAATTCAACTAGGTTGTTTGTTCCCCAGGCTGTGATTTCAGCAAGATCTTCATTGACAGCATTGACCTGCCTGCGCCGTGAGTTCTTAGTTTCCTGGGAAGAAATGGGAATTCTGGAAGAGAACGCAGTATGGAGGGTACTATCATCTGCAAAGCTGTGGATGGGGCAAGTTGTCACTCCCAACAGATCATTGATATGAAGCAGGAATAATGTTGGTGCCAAAATTGATCCTTGTGATCTAACGAATCCATAATTTCATGAAGAATGTCGCTAGGTATCATCTTCCCAACAAATATGAGTTTCAATTCACTTTTAATTTCCATATTTAGGTACTGTCAAAATTTCATAATATCGAATAACACCAATTTCTAGGGAATGATTATTGATTAGTCATAGTAGGAATAGAGTCACTGGATGTTATTATAGTTAGAGAATGTTTTTCTTCTTCAGGAAACCGGATCCATTCGACCCGGAGTTATAGGAGGCTCCAAGCCTCGCGTGGCCACCCCGGATGTGGAAAATAGGATCGAGCAGTACAAGCGGGAAAACCCCTCGATTTTCAGCTGGGAAATCAGGGACCGGTTGGTCAAGGAGGGAATTTGCGACAGGAGCACTGCCCCTAGCGTGTCCGCCATTTCCAGGCTGCTACGAGGGAAAGGAGGCGAATTGGACACAGACGGGGGTAAGTCGAACTCGATGACTAAGACTAAAAACCTCCGAGTATGATCGAAGACTTAAAACTAATAGTGTTTTACACTCGCCGATTTACAAAGCGCACTAGCATAGAGCAAGTACAAGTGGCACTGGCTCGGTTCGTCGCACAGAGCAGAATAGAAATAGAGAGTTGGTGCATGTATAGAAAGTCAAATGGTGTTATCACTTCTTATTGAAAGGAGTTTCGAAATCTCTCGATATCGCCTACTTTGTAAAAATAGCGAGGCGTGGGAGATATTTGCTAAATTTCCCAAGTTTCAAACCGAATTTACAGGCATCATGACACATTCATTTGAGTTCACAATTCCATTTTCACAATTTTTTGTTGAAATGGAAACGGTGCGTCATATTTTCGACTTTCAATGGTGAATTCATGAACGACACGAAGTCCTAACTCAAGAAAACCCTGTGATAATAGTTTATTTACTCACTTTTGGTACATAAAATAAAATGTTTGGATTTTCCGATCATCTTCACGCATTGCAGCAGTCCATGATGAAAGCACAATCAATACCCCAGTCGATACCCGCTTAAAAAATCTTGAATATTCCGAAAACGCCTAAAATATGACACTCGTGACAGATATGTCAATATCAAGATGTTTCCGCGCGGATTATTTGTTGCGACTTGTCTCTAGATGGTTCTTATCAGCTATTATTGAATTCGTGCATCATGAACGATACTCTTCAGGTCCCAAAAGAAGGAAAACACAAATTTTTCAAGAAATTGTCTATCATCCACGCCATCTATCATCGAATATTAGAGCCCCACGTTCCGAACTCGCATTCAATTGTTCATATCGAGAGCTAGTCTGACGAAACAATTGAAGAGTGGGCACACCAGAGGTTGGTGCGGCCTTCTTGTCATGAGAAATGTCAGAATTCTCCAGCCTTGTCAGAATAATTGTTTTGTCAACCAAAAAGTTGAATTATTGAAAGTACATTTGGTTCCGTTGGTCCACATGAAATGGATTCATCTACCTCTTATTGTGGTTTCCCTGTGAACACTGCCAGAAACCAGTTAGAAACAGTTTTATATGTGAATGTTCATTGTCAATGATGTTCAATTGAATCATTCGACAAGTTTATACGTCCATGGATGTAGCATTGAAGGTGATTGAAGTGTAGTTCACGAAGTTAGAATTTTTCATCATTACTGAATCAACAATCAAATATGTTTAATACCTGCACATCTGAATAGCTTTGTTTAACTTTTAGGTAATTTTGAATCTTCTGTAAACGCTGTTTCGTAACGAAGTACTTCTGTATCTCAATTATCATTTCTTCATCATCACTTGTATACAAAGTATCTATAATTTCGGAAATTATTGTAATAATAGTAATAAACTACAATGAGACATTCATAATTATTGAAATTCCAAACATTTTCCCACTTGTGACTCGAATATTTGAGGTTATGTGTATCGCACTGTCGTACAAGCACAGTTTTGAAAATTCGAACTCTGAGCGAGCATCGAGCAAGTTTGAAAACCAGTGGAAATCATTTGTCGCCAAAAGTTCTCTCTTGAAATTCTCAGTGGACCACGCAAAAGCACTCAGTGCCGAAAAAGTTCGAGCTAGTGCGACGAGTGGAAAACGCTATAAATGTACAGGGCAGCTGATTTGTTTAAGAAACGATACCCACCCAGAGAATATTCTACTGGGACCCAAAGTTCGAAATTTCACATTCTCAACATTTTCATCTCGTTTTTTATTGAATTTCTCTGCAAGTTATTAGTTGGGAAACATGGAAAGGAAGAAAAGTTTCAATGAACATGAGTGTATGAAATAAATATCTCCTAAGGGCTACAATAAAACTAACCTTTATATGCCCAATGCAATGAAAATAAAATAATTCCCATATTTCATTCAGGAGTGTATAATACAGGGTGGGGCAACATTAAATATCGCTCATACTTTTTTGTATGCCTATATTTTGACAATTCGATCTCGGATTATAAAAAGCCACATCTCTTTACAGAAAAAAAGGTGCTATATTCAAAAATTATGTTACAATATTTAATGTAGTCCCACCCTGTATTATACACTCCTGAATGGAATTTCGGAATGCTTTCATTTTCACTGCAGTGGGCATAAAGAGTTCAGTTCTTGTACCAAATTGCATCATTATATCATAATATGGCGTATCGGAAATATTCAAGAAATATTATATCGTTCTCACGTTCTCCTTCATTCAAGCTCACCTCTTCGTTTTCTGAATCCTCTTTATTTTTTTCAAATACGGACCTGGATTTTTCATTTAATTTTTTCATACCTTCGAATATCCCAAAAGATATGAGCTATCAGAATTTTCATTTCAGAATGTTTCGTTTACAAATATCGACAGTTTCGTATTGAATATTAAAGAAATATACAGAGAATAATAAAGTTTCTTATCAAATTGCAAGTTGGAAAACTTCTAATGTTCAGAAAACTGAATTCGAATGAGGTATATTTGCCGTCAATGGGGCAGATTGGGCCAAGGGAAACAAGGTCCAATTCATTACCCAAAGGCAACCCAACACAAAAGCATCGATCTAAAACCTCTTCTCAAAATAGGTAGCGAGAAAATAAAAACAACCGAGTAATAATTTGTTACGTCATCCCTTGACCATTAACGACGACTTTTATGTCGCCGCCATATGTAATTTGACACCTTTTTTTGAGACGAACCGACACACTCTTTTCAATATCGAGTGGTAATTAAAAATCATAATAGTTTTTCCTATACCAACAGTCAGGACACTGCCGCTCCTGTCACTGTCTACAGGGTGATGCATTTTTTCTACGCTTTCATTAGCTTTCTCTATATACAGGGTGTATCTAAATTACACCGAACTAATTCAAGGGGTGATTCCTTTTGATATTTTAGGAAATGAAGTTCATATAAACATGTGTCCTAGCTTACTTCGTTTTCGAGATACAGGGTATTAATATTTCCATGAAAAATCTTTTTTCTATTCATTTCGTCTCGATCTATGAAGTATGAGTTATCCGAGTTTGACTGTTTGGTTTTGGCGGTTCGCTCAAGGTTCCTATCATTTCAATACACTACATAATCGTCAGTAAATAGCTCAGAATCATAAAAATCATTATTCAGCCAAGTCTCAGTCATGCAGATGATATCGTAATGTTCCAAATTAAGATTTTGGTAGAATTCTGTCGTCTTAGTACGTAAACCCCTGGAATTTTGGTAATATGCGGATATTTTCATTTGTGGACATTGTGATAACAGCTCTATCAACATCAAAAATAACAAAAAATACGAATAAAATAGAACTCGACTATACATTTCATGGTTTTATGACATCTTTATAACCCAAACGATGAAGAAAAGAACAATTTAATCAAATCTATATGACTATCCCTGAATAAGCGGAAAAAAACAAGAATATAAAAACATCAGTACCTACCTACCTGAAAAAAATGATCAAATAAAGAGAGAAATAATCATCCCAAAAAGCCATCGGTTGACGATGATAAGATGAAACAATCCCATGTCGAGGTCCATGTTGCCAGACCTCGAAATTGGCTCAAGATCTTGGAATTACATATCATTCGTTACAGTGCTAATTCTACCAACACCATCTTTCACAAATATTCTGCCATCTCGGGACCAGGCATTACGAGATCCATATTTTTGTTTCGCCATACTAAGAAGCTTATAACGATTTTTGGTAAGATCCTTATTCAGGAATACTCCGGTACCTCTCAGAAGTTTCTTGGAAAACAATATTTCAGTTCTCTTCAGGTAAGTAACTAAATCGACAATAACACATCTTGGTTTGACATTATTAGACACAACTTCACTTTTCCCAATTCGATAGACATTGGGGAGCAATAAATAAAAACAATGAATATTTCCAACTTCAACATCCTGTATCTCAAAAACGGAGCAAGTGAGGACACATGTTTTTATGAACTAATGTATTTGCTAGAATGACACAAGGAAACAAACCTCGAATTTTTTGGGTGTTATTTAGATACACCCTGTGGATATAAAAATTAATTTGAATGTTTCGAGATGAGTTTTGGAAATGGCACTGTAAAAATTCCCATCAAGTGAGACCAATCCATTTTCCGTAACGATACCCCAGACCGGAAGAAGTTATCAAAAAAATGTGGAAGCAAGCAAGATAGGCCTTTTTTCACGGCATCATAATAATAACATTGGTGGTGTGTCGAATTATCCACGGTTTCATTATCTAGATCATTTCGAGCACCACGTGACATTCATCATTAATAACTATTTCGTGGAATTTTCAGGTTTTTCGATTTAAAACGGAGTAATTCAATAGAAAACGCGTTGTTAACATAATTAGGTATAAGTAGACTTCGAAGGAGACCCTATTGCTAGGTGTAAAGAAAATGATTTATTAGTTCTTTTATGTTGGACAAGCCGACTGAGGCTCCGCAGGTGGGATCTATTCTTTGCAGACCCTCGGGTAATAATAACACTTTTGTTCAGAGCTGTTTTGACTAATTTAAAATAAATAGACTCTGGACTCCTGGACGAAATTATCTGCATAGCTAGTGCGCTTCGAAGGAAGAGGTCGCCTCTTTTTCACCACGCTTTTATCAACTTGGTATGATAGATAGATAGATCAATTTGTTTCAAAAACATACAGTTTAAGAATAAAACGTCAAAATTAGGCTAAAGTACATAAATAAATATCGTAGGTATAAAACAAACATAATAATATACAAGATTTCACAGGTACATAAACATAAAAAGTATATACACGTCAACTCGAACATTATTCATCAGTTAGCGATGATTGGATATCACAGAAGAATTCATCCAAGGTATAATAAGATTTCTTCAGAAGCAATTCTTACATTTTATTCTTGAATTGGAATTTATTTCTCGATTCTTTTCACTTATAAATATTATAAAATATTCCCTGCATGAATCTCTTGCTCTCAGATTTCCCAAGATACGGACTGCCCTTTTTTGTAAGGTAAAGGCCCTATGAGCTTCTGCGGAATTTGCCCAATGTATGATTCCATATTTTAGATTGGAGTGGAAGCACCCGAAATACAATTGTTTCATTATTTCTTTGCTACATTGCTTTGATGAAATGAAAAGGGCATAGCATATCTCAGCTAGCTTCGAACACAAACTATCTACATGTCTATACCACTCCAGGTTACTTTTCAAAATAACACCAATCAATTTAGTATTTAGAGCGCAGGTGATTTCTGTATTATTCAGAGTTTTGTGTTTAGGATATTCTGAACCAGAAGATTTGAAAATAACACAGGTCGATTTATCATTATTGAGACAAAGCTTGTTCACAATTCACATCAACCCACTTGCAAAGATTCATGTAAACTACTTCGCCTACAGTGTCTGAAATGAACAGAAAGTTTGTATCATCAGCATAAGCTACTACTCGAGTAGAGTGCGGTCTCATTGATTCGATCAAGTCGTTGATATATATAATAAAGAGTGTTGGACCAAGAATGGATCCTTGAGGCACACCTATATTCGCAGATTTCAAATCAGAAATATAGTTGTTACATTTAACCTGCCGTTGTCTATCAGTCAGATATGATGTGTATGTTTGTATTATAAACGGAATCTTCGAACGTGATTTTGAACCATTTCAAAACGTCGAATTGAATTGAAACTTTGCATACTTACCACGACCCTATAACTTTTATATAAATTTAATTATTCTTTTATCAGCATTTTTTGTCATACTCAAATTGCATTTCTCAGCTTCTATACCTATATTCGTTTCATAGTATATGTTTTTTAAAAGATAGGTATCTGAGTTTATTGTATAACGTATAGTCGTGCAACACATTTTATAATCACTTTTATAAGGACTGTATAGGTAGTTTCTTTCAAATCTTTTGATACCAATCGAAATATTGTATAACATGGGACAATTTTTGGTTGTACAGAAATTGTATTAACTATAAAATATACATTGGTAGTTGGGATTTCATTTGGCCTGTTTTCATTTTTCAGAGCATATTCGTTTAGTTTAATATCTATGGTTTAATCCAATACTTAGTATAAAGGTGCTTTTATAAGCTTATAACGCACACTGATCCCCAAGTCAAAATCATTTCATAGCTTATTTCGTAAAAATCATCAATAACCTATAGATATACTTATAGAACATCATACTGGTTAACTGGTAGGTATATAATTCTTACAGCAATACCACTTTCGACACCTTCATATATTACCTACTTTTCATAACGATGATAGCAACTAATAAGCTGCAAAAGATTTTGACTCTTGATATCTCACTAACAATGTCTCATTTACATATTTCCAAACCATAGCTATTTCATATTACATGATTCACCAGCCGTATCGTATCATATATAAATATATAGGTGGCTATTTCCGCCATGTTGTTAACATGCCTACGTCTGCCATTTTCGAATTTCTCTTCACGAGAAGTCATCGAGCGTGTCGTGTATAGCGATAGTCGATTGTTCACAGCCTACCAACCGGGCTAAGAGAACGAACAATGGATCAGTACATTTTTATAAGGATGGAATAAAAGCTCGCCCAATGATTACTACTTCACTTCCTTTTCACCTTTCTGTGCTAATAAGCTCTTTGGGAGGTAGATTTCATTGTTATTTGTAATGGATGCCTTTTTGTTATAATATATATGAATTAATTACACAATATAATCAATGTGCCCAACATAAGCTTGTCAGGAGTAACCATACCTTTGAAGACATCCATTTCGAGGCTTGGTATTACTATCAGCAATAACCTTTCTTGGGAAAATCACGTGAGATCAATTGCTAAAAGTGCATCCCAAAAACTTGGTTTTCTGTTTCGGGCCAGGAGCTATTTCACTTACAGTCAGCTGCTTATGATCTATAAGGCACAGATTCGACCTGTCCTAGAATACTGTTCCCATATTTGGAATGCAGCATCCAAACTTGCTCTTCTGAAATATCAACAATTGTTCCTCCCTTGGCAGTCCCCGCGAGATTAATCCGTCGAGTTGAGGCTTCGCACCCCTTCGTGGTCACTTTGGAGACCTGCAGAACATCTCTTTCCAAAGACTCGTTCAGCTAACGAACAGCGAGGCTCTGGAACGCATTGCCAAGGGAGGTGTTCCCCGAGGCATACAACCTCCAGAAATTTGAGGAGAACACCAATTCCTACCTTATTTTCCTTGTTTCTCACGATGTTCTCTGAACATTACAGGATATCCCTTTTCGTGGGAACCAGAACATAAAAAATAAAAAAAACTTCATTATATTATTCCAGTGCCTTCCAGCGTTTGAAAATGTAATTAGGAAGTAAAGATGGTATTTTTTCCAGACAAATCGAGTGAAAATGAAGGTGGCTCCGACTGTGAAAGTGAACCGGGGATTCCCCTGAAGAGAAAACAAAGACGGTCCAGAACGACATTCACAGCTCACCAATTAGATGAATTGGAGAAGGCCTTCGAACGCACCCAGTATCCTGATATCTATACTAGGGAGGAACTAGCCCAAAGGACCAAGCTAACTGAAGCTAGAATCCAAGTGAGTATAGCTACGATTGAAACATTTTCAACCAAAACCTGATTCAACTACGCTTGCTAATTTGGATTTGTGAATAACATCACAAACACCCAGTAGAAAATTTGGAACGATTATGAAAAATAGGATTTGTTGCATCAACAAATTATTTATGCAATTTTTTGTTGAATTAAACTGCTACATGATTATTTCATGGAAGCAGCTTGTTCAAATCGAGAATGTTGATTCAATGAAATATTTGGTTGATTCAATGAAACAAATAATTCATTGATGATCAGCCCGATAGGACATATAGTTTTCGAGATATCGGCGCTCAAAGTCAGGTTTCTGCTTTTATTGCAGAAAGGAGCACTCCGGTAGGCTACCACGTCCCCATTTCCCAAAATTTTTCAATTCTCACCACAGATTCGTTCATAACGACATTGAATTAGTCCATGTGAATTTTTTCAGATTTTTAACGAGCCAAATGAAAATTTTGATTTTCCCACCTGAGACTTCAGTTCGATATAGTCATCGCTCTTCTTCCGACGGCCGAAAGTGCCAGAAAACGGCAGAAATCCTCGAGAATTATCGCTTTTCCAGTAGAAAATGACACGTTGAATCGAATGAGACCATGATCAGCCCGATAGGACAGATAGTTTTTGAGATATCGGCGCTCAAAGTCAGCTTTCCGCTTTTATTGCCATAATAGGAGCACTCCGGTAGGCTACTACGTCTCCATTTAACGAAATTTTTCAACTTTCACTACAGATTCGTTCATTACGACATCGAATTAGTCTATGTGAATTTTTTCAGATTTTTAACGAGCCAAATGAAAATTTTGATTTTCCCACCTGAGACTTCAGTACGATATAGTCATCGAGTCTTCTTCGGACGGCCGAAAGTGCCCAAAAACGGCAGAAATCCTCACGAATTATCGTGTTTTCAGTAGAAAATGACACGTTGAATCGAATAAGACCATGATCAGCCCGATAGGACAAATACTTTTCGAGATATCGGCGCTCAAAGTCAGCTTTCCGCTTTTATTGCCAATAGGAGCACTCCGGTATGCTACTACGTCTCCATTTCCCGAAATTTTTCAATTTTCACCACAGATTCGTTCATTACGACATCGAATTAGTCTATGTGAATTTTTTCAGATTTTTAACGAGCCAAATGAAAATTTTGATTTTCCCACATGAGACTTCAGTACGATATAGTCATCGAGCCATCTTCGGACGGCCGAAAGTGGCAGAAAACGGCTGGAATCCTTACGAATTATCACTTTTCCCGTAGAAAATGACACGTTGAATCGAATGAGACCATGATCAGCCCGATAGGACATATAGTTTTCGAGATATCGGCGCTATCAAAGTCAGCTTTCTGCTTTTATTGCAAATAAGAGCACTCCGGTAGGCTACTACGTCTCCATTTTCCAAAATTTTTCAATTTTCACCACAGATTCGTTCATTACGACATCGAATTAGTCTATGTGAATTTTTTCAGATTTTCAATGAGCCAAATAAAAATTTACATTTTTCCACCTCAGACTTCAGTACGATATAGTCATCGAGCCATCTTCGGACGGCCGAAAGTGCCAGAAAACGGCTGGAATCCTCACGAATTATCACTTTTCCCGTAGAAAATGACACGTTGAATCGAATGAGACCATGATCAGCCCGATAGGACATATAGTTTTCGAGATATCGGTGATCAAAGTCAGCTTTCTGCTTTTATTGCAAATAAGAGCACTCCGGTAGGCTACTAGGTCTCCATTTCCCAAAATTTCCTAATTTTCACCACAGATTCGTTCATCACGACATCGAATTAGTCTATGTGAATTTTTTCAGATTTTTAAAAAGCCAAATAAAAATTTTCATTTTCCCACCTGAGAATTCAGTACGATATAGTCATGGAGCCATCTTCGGACGGCCGAAAGTGTCAGAAAACGACTGGAATCTTCACGAATTATCACTTTTCATGTAGAAAATGACACGTTGAATCGAATGAGATCATGATCAGCCCGATAGGACATATTGTTTTCGAGATATCGACGCTCAAAGTCAGCTTTCTGCTTTTATTGCAATAAGGAGCACTCTGGTAGGCTACTACGTCTCCATTTTCCAAAATTTTATAATTTTCACCACAGACTCGTTCATTACGACATCGAATTAGTCTATGTGGATTTTTTCAGATTTTTAAAAAGCCAAATGAAAATTTTCATTTTCCCACCTGAGACTTCAGTACGATATAGTCATCGAGCCATCTTCGGACGGCCGAAAGTGCCAGAAAACGGCAGAAATCCTCGAGAATTATCGCTTTTCCAGAAGAAAATGACACGTTGAATCGAATGAGACCATGATCAGCCCTATAGGACAGATAGTTTTTGAGATATCGGCGCTCAAAGTCAGCTTTCCGCTTTTATTGCCAATAGGAGCACTCCGGTAGGCTACTACGTCTCCATTTCCCAAAATTTTTCAATTTTCACCACAGATTCGTTCATTATGACATCGAATTAGTCTATGTGAATTTTTTCAGATTTTTAAAAAGCCAAATAAAAATTTTCATTTTCCCACCTGAGACTTCAGTACGATATAGTCATCGAGCCATCTTCGGACGGCCGAAAGTGTCAGAAAACGGCTGGAATCCTCACGAATTATCACTTTTCCTGTAGAAAGTGACACGTTGAATCGAATGAGATCATGATCAGCCCGATAGGACATATAGTTTTCGAGATATCGACGCTCAAAGTCAGCTTTCTGCTTTTATTGCAATAAGGAGCACTCTGGTAGGCTACTACGTCTCCATTTTCCAAAATTTTATAATTTTCACCACAGACTCGTTCATTACGACATCGAATTAGTCTATGTGGATTTTTTCAGATTTTTAAAAAGCCAAATAAAAATTTTCATTTTCCCACCTGAGACTTCAGTACGATATAGTCATCGAGCCATCTTCGGACGGCCGAAAGTGCCAGAAAACGGCTGGAATCCTCACGAATTATCACTTTTCCTGTAGAAAGTGACACGTTGAATCGAATGAGATCATGATCAGCCCGATAGGACATATAGTTTTCGAGATATCGGCGCTCAAAATCAGCTTTCTGCTTTTATTGCAATTAAGAGCACTCTGGTAGGCTACTGCGTCTCCATTTCCCAAAATTTTTCAATTTTTACCACAGATTCGTTCATTACGACATCGAATTAGTCTATGTGAATTTTTTCAGATTTTTAAAAAGCCAAATAAAAATTTTCATTTTCCCACCTGAGACTTCAGTACGATATAGTCATCGAGCCATCTTCGGACGGCCGAAAGTGTCAGAAAACGGCTGGAATCCTCACGAATTATCACTTTTCCCGTAGAAAATGACACGACGAATCGAATGAGACCATGATCAGCCCGATAGGACATATAGTTTTCGAGATATCGGTGCTCAAAATCAGCTTTCTGCTTTTATTGCAAATAAGAGCACTCCGGTAGACTACTACGTCTCCATTTCCCAAAATTTTCCAATTTTTACCACAGATTCGTTCATTACGACATCGAATTAGTCTATGTGAATTTTTTCAGATTTTTAAAAAGCCAAATAAAAATTTTCATTTTCCCACCTGAGACTTCAGTACGATATAGTCATCGAGCCTTCTTCGGACGGCCGAAAGTGCTAGAAAACGGCAGAAATCCTCGCGAATTATCGCTTTTCCAGTAGAAAATGACACGTTGAATCGAATGAGACCATGATCAGCCCGATAGGACAGATAGTTTTTGAGATATCGGCGCTTAAAGTCAGCTTTCCGCTTTTATTGCCAATAGGAGCACTCCGGTATGCTACTAACGTCTCCATTTCCCAAAATTTTCCAATTTTCACCACAGATTCGTTCATTACGACATCGAATTGGTCTAGGTGAATTTTTTCAGATTTTTAATAAGCCAAATAAAAATTTTGATTTCCCCACCTGAGACTTCAGTACGATATAGTCACCGAGCCATCTTCGGACGGCCGAAAGTGCCAGAAAACGGCTGGAATCCTCACGATTCATCACTGTTCCTGTAGAAAATGACACGTTGAATCGAATGAGACCATGATCAGTCCGATAGGACATATAGTTTTCGAGATATCGGCGCTCAAAGTCAGCTTTCTGCTTTTATCGCAAATAAGAGCACTCCGGTAGGCGACTACGTCTCTATTTCCCAAAATCTCCCAATTTCCACCACAGATTCGTTCAATACGACATCGAATTAGTCTATATGAATATTTTCAGATTTTTAATAAGCCAAATAAAAATTTTCATTTTCCCACCTGAGACTTCGATATGCTAATGAAAAATTCTAATCATCATTTCGAATTTTCAGGTATGGTTCAGCAATAGAAGAGCAAGACTGAGAAAGCAAATGGCATCGTCGTCGTCATCGTACAACCATCTAGGGGTCGTGGGGGGGCCTTATAGTGCACCCAGCACCCCTTATGCTACGTCACTGGGACAAGGCATCGGCGAGAGTAATTTCTCTGGTGCTGCTGCTACAGCAACCAGTTCTGCCAACCACAGTGAGTATCACAAACATATCACAAACTAGTCCTCTAGTTAGAAACCAACTTCGCGAAAAATGTGTGAATATTTTCCAGTAAAAGTTGTGCATTTCAAAATGATTCTAATTGGGGTTATTGACTAATCTCTATATCTATATTTCTTTCCTTCAAACATTTTTTCAAACAAATTGTCACTGACAAGCTACTGGATTTTTCTTTTAGACTCCTTGATAGAAAAATTTGTTGAACGCAGTGACATTTTGGGGCAAATCATCTGTAAAATGTATAATCAACATGCTGATCTAAACTCAGTTTTCTGTTTTCGTTCCAGTAACCGACCTCTACGCCTCCCACATCACCCACTCCACCTCCCCCAACCTCCCCCTGCCCGAGGTCAAATGGGAGCACCCCCTCGCTCAAAACCCCTACCCCTCACACCCGCTCTACTCCACGGCCAACCTGATGTCCAACACGCATCCCACCGCGCACGCGCATCCCAGCGCGCATGCGCATCCTGGCACGCCTCCGCACCTGGTCGCCGACGGACTCCAGGCCGTCCAGACTTTGCCCCAACAGACCGAGATGCAGGAGTACGAAGATAGCAAGGAGAGGAGCGATGAGAGTAACGTGCATCATTCTGGCAGCCCTTTGGGACAGCAGGAGTACGAGGATTTGACGCCTGCCAACACCATGGCTAACTTGATGGGTGAGTGGAAATGTTTGGAAGACAATAATACCGGGTGTCAACGAAAAAAATGGCCTGATATCTTGATGGGTTTTTTTAGAATTCTGAAAATGTTCCTATAGGATATTATAATAATAATATTTATTTCATTCTCTGCTATAAACATTACATTGCATCTCATATAATATCTATTTATAAATGCTGGTGTTCCGCAAGGATCAATTCTAGCACCAACACTATTTCTACTCCATATCAACGATTTGTTGGAAGCAACTTCATGTCCAGTACACAGCTTCGCGGATGATAGTACCCTCCATACCGCCTTCTCTTCCAGGGCTCCAAAATACCAGCCAGGCAAATCAGAAACGAACGAGGAAGAAATATTGACAACATATAAATATGGACTTGGCAAAAATAAAATTCTCGAATGGGGATCCAATAACTTGGTAGATTTCAATGCAAACAAAACACAAGCATGCCTTTTTTCTAGAAAAGCCGATCTCACTGTGCTCAACATAAGCTTGTCTGGAGTAACCATACCTTTGAAGACATCCATTTCGATGCTTGGTATTACTATCAGCAATAACCTTTCCTGGGAAAATTGCTAAAAGTGCATCCCAAAAACTTGGTTTTCTGTTTCGAGCCAGGAGCTATTTCACTTCCAGTCAGCTGCTTATGATCTATAAGGCACAGATCCGACCTGTCCTGGAATACTGTTCCCATATTTGGAGTGCAGCACCCAAACATACTCTGAAACTGTTGGATTCTGCCCCAAAAAGGGCAATTCGGCTCGTGGGTGATGCCTCGCTCACAAACTCACTCACTTCTCTGGAACACCGTAGAAAAGTTGGCGATCTGGCTCTATTTTATAGATATTTTCATGGACGATGCTCTTCTGAAATATCAACAATTGTTCCTCCCTTGGCAGTCCCCGCGAGATTAACCCGTCGAGTTGAGGCTTCGCACCCCTTCGTAGTCACTTTGGAGACCTGCAGAACATCTCTTTCCAAAGACTTGTTCATCCAACGAACAGCGAGGCTCTGGAACATATTGCCAAGGGAGGTGTTCCCCGAGGCATATAACCTCCAGAAATTTAAGAAGAACATCAATTCCTACCTTATTACCCTCTTGGTTCTCACGATGTTCTCTGAACATTACAGGATATCCCTTTTCGTGGGAACCAGAACATAAAAAAAAGGTGGCTATGTCATTATTGACTATAGTGGTTCATAAAATGACGAAGACTACCTTGGTAGTAAAAACACACTTCATGCCTCGAAAAGGAGTGAATAACGGTAGGTTCTACAGCTAGTGTGGTGGAAAAATATATTATATTAAGATTTACAATGAAATAACATTAATAATCAGACAGATTAATATCTGGTATGAGATTATTCATGCGTTATTCAATCTAATAAGTTATTGAAATAAACAGCAGATTCAAAAATAATAATAATGAAACATGAAAAGTACATTATGACATGATGAAATAAATTAGTGAATGAGAAATCATTCACTCAGGTTTGATTTTCTCTTTGTAAGAGGATATGTTTCTTGACTTTAATTTTGAATTGGGTGATATTTGTGCAACTTTTGATATCATCAGGTAATTTATTGAATTTTGAGATAGTTCCGTGAGTAAATTTTTTTTGGCCAAGTGTAGAATTAGCAGCATCAAAATGAAACAAGTCATATTGTCTAGTATGATGTTCATGGATTTGAGAATTCCTTATCAATATGAAGTTAGATTTGAGGTGTTTGTTGATGATATCAAAAGAAATTTTGAGAGTATTTATCAGATAGTGCTCCAAAGAAAATGTATTTTTTCTGTGACGGGAAAAAAGTTTGGCATTTCATCTCTGTTGGCAGGTTATAAAATGTCACTTTTCATAAATTACGTTTTTCCCGTGGGAAAAAAGTGAGTACTTTTTTTCCTGGATATATATCACATATATATACACTGTTGATAGCTTTTGTTATGCTATAGTTCCGAAAAATGAGTCAATAATACCGTCTCCGAGAAAGAACTGCAAGTCCTTTTATCTTCCATTCGACTTCGCGGTTACGTATATTACTATAAACAGTCACTAAATTCGCAATTTTTTGGAATCAAATCACAGAATTAGACTGACAGAAGTGACATCAGCTATATTTGATTACATCAAAAGAATGATAAAAGATGCCTAAAACGCAGGTGTCCCTACTGTTAAAAACTTAAAATTTCACGTCGATAGTTTTCAGATTTCAAAATAATGCAATATCTTCTCAATATTGATTCGCCCTTTCTTCTGTCACAGAAAAAAAATAGTGTATTATACTCGGGAAAAATATTAGATTTCAGCTCACGGTTTTTTGTCTCCCTACGCTACGCGTCGGGAGACAACACAACCTGGAGCTAAAATCTACAACTTTTTTCCCTTGTATAATAAATAACTATTGTTTCTTCATAAAGTTGATTTGATAGGGTGTCATATGGAAGACGATACAGTGGATTTGTTCATTCAACAAATGGGCGTGTACACCTTAGTAGAACTTTTAACTCAAACCATGTTTATAATGATCCTTTAATTTATACATAAATAATGATTGACGACATAATTCGATCGAAAAACTAGCTGGAATGTTTTATTTTTGGACATAAACAATAGTACCTCCTGAAAACGGACCCTCTTATGACGTAGAAACCTCATCTCGCCATAGTTAAAAGAAAATACCAAACGCCCGACGGAGACTGAGGCAACTGATATATTAATTCTTTCAACTGTGTTTTCGCGCTAATTCACTCTGTCAGAAATTATGTATCACTCATCTCTGTCTGGAATAGTATTGTTTCAGTATTAGGGTTTTGACGTCACATCATCGCCTCGTTTTCAGAGGTCCGAAAAATCGGGAATTTCAATAATTTTTTATAAAACGTAGGGAGCTCACAGCAAGAAACGGTTTTCGGTGGTGAGCTAGTTTGGGTGAGTTCTATCGAATTATGAAATAAACATTTTTTGTGATATAAGCCCATTGTCCCAGTTCTTATTGGTATTCGAATAATTCGCCTTGTATTGAAAAAAACAACGATTTCTTGAATCCCTAGAACGCAGAAGCCGAGGAGAACAATTAAAATCATTATACAACCTCTTAGCACAGTAGTTACGTCTATCGATGACTTGACAAAACCTAAGAAAAAACAAAGACCACTGAGGCGAATACTGACAACTAGCAGACCGAGACACAAAAACCGAAAGCTTTTTATTATAAACTTCCATTTTCATAGTTGCATGTAAATGGCCAATTTCTTTTCACTGACTGACTAATTGTGATACTGACCTAACCAAAATCGTTTGGAAGGATATTGATCTATTATTTCAAGGTTCATTGAGTTTGTCATTCTATATTGCCAATAACTGATCGATAACTATGGGTTTGAACTAACCATAGATGCAGAAAATTCATTGGTGCCACCACTCGATATAAAACGGCAAAAAAACTTAATAAACCCTTCGTTATTCCTTTTGAGAAATGAGAATATCATTGTTAACCCTTAATTACTATTCATACGTCTCAGAGACGGCATATCAGCATCCGATTTGTTGGATTATCCCTGCTTTTCAATATAGGCCATCGTCCTACCAAGTAATTTATGTTCACCCAGCACTCATTCAGTAGGTACCCTCAAGTTGATCTATGTATGTGGTTCAGTTTTAGAAATATCTCGTGTGAAAGAAAGATTACCGTGTCTTAGACGTATGGTTAGTTATTGTTATTACGTAACAATAAATTTTCAATTTCGCCTATAATACGTATGATTGCGTCTCAGGGACGTAGCAAGTCGAAACAGGGCCCTGGTGCAAGACCACAGCGGGCCCCCTTCATTATAACACGAAATAGTCCAAATAATAATGATTTTATTGCAAAAAAATACATTATAATTACAATAATTATTTGTGGAAGGTACCACGAATAGTAACAAACTCAGAATGTAACAAATAACTGATTTAACGCAAATACAAAACGTATTCTAATCGAACTATATTTATGATTAAAAAAGTCAACTTTTCTTGCTTCTTGATTGGCAAACAATGAAATCATTTCATTTATATCTAATGTCCTGGCTGTCTCATTTTGTATTGACAAAATTGCTAAGCTAGAAAGTCTGCTTTGCGACATTTTACTTCTAAAATAATTTTTAATCAATTTCAAGATTGAAAATGATCTGTCCGAACTTGCAACAGAGACGGGAATTGTTAGAAAGAGAATAAAAGCACAGCATATTTCTTTGAATGAACTCGAGATCATTTGATCGCAAATGACTAATTTCGCCAAGTGATCGATCGAATTGTTTGAAATGTCATTGATCTGATCTTTATAAATGCGCCTGAATGACAAAATTTCTTGTGAAAGTGAATCCGACAAATCATAAAAGCTAATCAATTTCTCAGAGAGAAGTACCAAATCAGCATCACTCCGTTCTTTCAAAACCGAAGAAAAAAGTACTTCGAATCTTCGAACTACGCTGTTCAGCCCTTTGAATCGATTGTCGAGTTGTGATATAATAACGTCCAACGTTACATTGAACACAGACACACGAAAGTTCTCTTTAGCATTGGATAGTCGTTCGTCACACGACAACTCATCAAAATGTTTTTTCACTTTCGAACTATTTGATTCTCAAAACTCGGATGAATTCCCCAATCACGAGCTAAATCAGCTGCTACATTTACAACTCCTTCGAAGTTTGCCCTGATATCTGCAATATCTTCTGAAGCAGTTTCTAGAAGCTTTGACGCTCTCTGAATATCTTGATTTTTACTCTGCAGTGCATTGGAAACAATCTTTGTGATGCTCAAGATTTTATATTACATAACTATAATCACAACTGTTTCGAATTGTTCGAGTTTCGTCTTCAATCCAATGATTTCATTTTGTTCAATTGTTTTTGAGCTTGTTAGGGTTAGTTTCATTGCTGGTTGAATGAAACCTCAGGAACTGATGTGGGGGGGGGGGGTGAAATTTGTGACAAAAATCTGTTTTGCAATCGAAACAGCCGCCGGGCCCCTTCGGGTCCCGGGCCCTGGCGCTCGGCATCACTCGCACCACCTGTTGCTACGTCCCTGTTGCGTCTATATCTATAGATATACAGGCATTGCCATATTTTTCAATTCGCACGTTTATGACTTAGTTTCTGTGCCATATTTTATTACGACTCTAACTGTATTCAGAATGACAATAATATCATCAATAATTTTAGTATTCCAATTTTATTTCAGTATTTCTATAGATCAATGTCAAAATTTTGAACATAAGGTACTCCTCTATGAAATTTTGATCGCCACTGGAATTTGTATTATAATTTAATTTTGAACATCATCGCCAAAATATGTAGAGAAGGTGTTTGAATAGCTCACGAAAATAAAATAAGAAAATTTGGATTTATATGGACATTCGAATAGTCCCGCCTGAGAAGTATGGTTAATTCTAAAAAAATACAGGGTGATTCATGAGGAACTAGAAGTATCTCATGACCATCTCATGACCATCAGAAAGTGTCATCTCCTCTTCTTGACTAATATATAGGATGAATTATGGGATTTGGCCAAAACATCTTTTGGTCGGGAGACAACACAACCTGGAGCTAAAATCTACTACTTTTTTTCCCTTGTACAATAAATAACTATTTTTCCTGCGGTTTTTGTGAATTTGTCACTCACCATGTGCAAGGAAATATTCATGAGTTGACTGATTGATGTAAGACACATTATAGAGTGTCTTGAAGCCTCAATGGCTAAAATGGTGGTGGCAGTCAACGTGCTCTTGAAAAAAAACCTGTACGAAATTAATCCACCCTGTTCTTCTGTTTCAGCCAACGGCAACAGCAACGAGCCGCCATCTTGCACCGATCCCACCCCTCTGCAGCATCTGCCACCCCACCAATGGCACCCCATGTCGCCCTCTCACCAGCTCAGGACCCTGAGCCCCACCGCCCTGGGCCAGCCTATGGCTCAGGGCCTGGGCGGGTTCGCTCAGAATGGAATGCAGCACGGCATGCACGGGTACCACCATCAGGCGCCGAAAGGCTTCGGGCACCAACCGTTCTATGGGTGGTACTGAGGTACCGAGATAATTCAAAACGATCCAAAGTACTGAAGAACTCTTCCTGAATTGTTCATCTTAACATCAAGCCTTCAATGGCAGATACTATTTCTGTGTAGTTGGAATGATTTTATGAGTGGTACCTTTCAATGGTTCACACTTTCTCTGAAAACCATATTTGCAGATCATTCAACGAACGATATAGAACTCTGTGAGATTTGAAAGGTTTCAAAGATGGTACCAATACCAGCTAACAACCGTTTTTATAGTGGTTCTTCGATGGCAGATACTATTCTGTGAAGTTGAGATGGTTTTATGAGTGTTACCAATAATCTTTCAATGATTGACACTGAAAAACATTCTTTGAAATCCAAATGTACCATTTGCAAGTTATTTCAGACTGTAGTGGGTATCATGCATTAAATATATTCCATGAACGATGAAACTAGGACATTTATATAAAAGGTTCTATGGTTGTACCAATATCTCCTAAAAAGCTTTATATAGTGGTTCTGAGAAACGATTTCAAATATATCACTTAGTTATTTCAATGGGACATGAAGCACTTAGATGATCCGATGAAAGATGAAAATGTGGAATAAAAAAGGTTTATGGCTAATTTGCGGTGTTCATGGTCCTCATCTGACCTTGCGATGACGTTTAAAATGGGGGAAGACATGTCTAACATTTAATCTATGCCAGGAGTTAGGAATGTTTACCCCAGTTTGAACGTCATCGCCACGTCAAATAACGACCTTGAAAACCGTGAATACCTGCCAAAAACGACAGTACCAGATAGCTTTGAACTGGTTTTTAGGTTGTACCTACCAAAAATTATTTTTGCAAATTATTTTCGATTTGAGAAGGTACCTACATATCATGCATCAATATCATCCAATATGAAAGATATGACACAATTATCAAAAGCATGAATATCATTCGATGAAAGATAAAACTCTAATGTTTTTGTATTTAATATCTACTAACCTTTTCTTCAGGGATCATGATGGTACTAGAAAACATTTTCTTAAAACCCAAGGCCGTGCCCAGGTTTTTTTGGGAGGGGGGCAAAGAGAAAGAGGTGCTGCTAATTCAAACTCAGTTTTCGAACAAATGGGAAAAATTCGGATTTCAGGGGGTTCGCACCCCCCGGGCACAGCCTTGTACAGAAAACCGAACAATTTTACGCAGTGTACAGAAAAACGCATTCTCAGTAAGTAATTTAAACGTTAAGCCTTCTATGACAGATACCTGCCAAGTCCTCTGTGTGGTTAGAAAGGTTCCATATGGGCAGGAAAGTACCTATACTATCTTTATATTAGTTATTTGTTTTGTATATTAATATCATGTGTCTTGCAATTTTTATCCTGAATTATTGTATTGCCAAAGTACTAGCAAATGTTTTCATGTTTGTTTGTTTTCAATTTACTGAATATCTGCCTTGGTGAATTGAGGGGAATGTGAATATTATTTCGTTGTTTTACCTTCCATTTGTACGTATATCCACCGAACTTTCTGTATATATTTTCTTTATCACCCATTTATTTTAGTAATTATTCTATATTTATAACACCAGTGATAGTTAAGAGAAATTTGCACTAAATATATGTATACCTACCAATATTTGTTAATATTTTCATGTAAAGTAGTATTTTTAAGGGATATTATGTATTTTTATAAATTGATAAGCATCACCAGTGCGAACAAATTGTAAATAAAATGTTATTACCAAATGCAAATTATTTTATTTTATGGCACCAGAATATACTTACCATAGAATATCGATTAAAACTTATCTAGCTAAATTGGAGATTGGACTTAATTGAAAAATAAAAAGGTTATTCATGACATTTATTATTTTTGGTATAATATCACAATATAAAAACCATGTGGCATTGAAAAAAGTTTCGTATGAAAACAATGTGTTTGTGTTGCTATTGAAATTTCAAAACAAAAATCTGAGTAGGACAGTTTATTCTTAAAATAAGTGTTGGTAACGGTTTTCCTGCTAAAAACAATAACTTATCAGACCTATAATAATTATCACAAAATTTCAATTACATACCTACTAATATATTGTTTTAATTAAACAACAGTCATATAATTTTTCAATAGCAGACAACAAAGTTATAGACATATCATTATAGTGATGTGAAATAAGCAATTTTGTCACTATATGTAGACTAGATTTTTCAACTAACGTTACCTAATCATTTTTAAAACTCGCATTTTGAGAACTAACCAGAAAAAAATAGATAATTCGAATTTGACATCATTAATCTCATCAGGTATTGATTCAATGAAACTTAATTGCTAAAAAACGAAAGAATTTATGAAGCCTTTCAGTAAAAAAAAAATTTAAAAATCAAGATTGGTACCTAGGACAAACGATGAGCAAAAGAAGCCAAGCAAATTGTTGCTATTAAAATACAGTTTTTTCATGAGAAAAAAATAAAACGACGAACATTGCTGCAGTAGTACTGAATATTTCATAGTCAACCACTTCTTCAACTCACACTCAATTTTTTCACGTGCTCATAAAAAGCACATGAAATTGCATAGATGACAACTCTTTTTCAACACCAAATTTCGATGTTTAAACGGTTTGGCAACATAGTAAATTATTTCATTAGTATCAGTAACAACAGTGAGTCCAGTCACTTTGGAGCCAAATTACACCTATTTTTTCTGCAACCAAAATAAATGATATACAGGGTGTCCCAAAATTGCTGGGACAGAGCTACCACAGTTTTCGATTTGAGGCCGAGAATACAAATATATATGAGCTAATTGATAAATTGACATCTCCTTCATAGATCAAATTCTTTCTAAGTATTCTTTCAGGAACAGAGATTGAGAATCGCCAAAATAAATACAAACGAGTTGTTGAATGTGAAATATTCAATAGTCAAGTCTTCAATTTTTGACTTGTTATTCACCCAAAAGTTCACAAATTCAGAGTACATAATAAGTGCTGGCCAGTGGTAGTGATCAATTGATTTATTTGATTGGCGTGCATTGTTTCTTTGCAAATGATAATGTACGGCTCGTAATTTTGAATTTCCTTCAAAATATCAGAGTCATGAGGCGCAAAATCGATTTCAGACTGACAGTCAGCAGTGATGCCTTTGTTATTGGATTCTTGAGTGGTACTGAAACGTTGTGGAAACATTTGAACCAACTGATCCAATGTGAAAGTTGATGACACAAATGTCAATATATCTAAAATGAAAAAAATAATGAATGACATTCACAATGGGAAGCAATCAAGTATGGATAAATACCCTTCAATATTTTTTTGTGAAAGAAGCACACTCTCTTGAGGTTCTCAGACTGCGATAACCTTAAAATCCTCCTTTGCACTGTTGCAATCAAAAATTTCCATTCGTCCGTTCTACTGAAACGATCCTTAAAATTCTAAAGTTTGGACGCAGTCATGAAACGCTAGAAAAACTCACTTTTCCGAACTGCAATAGACATTGTGGACATGCATCGATCAACAACAAAACGGCGTCATTGGTCCCCATCGTAATTGACTGTAAACTTTCGTTACCCCTCAGAGATTCATTGACAGAAAGATACCCATTCACCTAAGAACAAGGAAATTCACATGAAAAGGACCCCGCACCGCAATTCGCGAAAATCACGAAGTGTGCGGCCTCTGGTGGCTAACTGTACAAGTCTTGCGAGTATGAACAACAAATATGGCGACCATTGTTTTGAATTTCATGAATATGTGTTTTATTCGAAAATAATTTATTTGTTGAAGTGCATATTCCAGAACCTCATTTCTTCCTGATGAAAAAACTCGAATTATAGCATGAACTTTTATTGTTTACAATGAAGAAACCAGTACCTACCTTATAATAATATAATATACATTTTCTGAAGCACAATTCGAATCATTGTATAAATGTTGGTTGCAATGATTCGATCTTGAGAATAACTTCAAGTCCTCAATTGCTGGAGATCCTTGTTTATGTAAATCGATGATATTGTTCATTCTGAGCAGCCTCTCCAACCATATTTTCTTTTCCAACCCCTTCACTAGAATTCCATCTCCTTCATAAAAGCCAGTGATATTTCTTGATGAATTCAATTATTTCTTCATACCTATACCATATTGTTGTAATAGCTGATTGCTTATATGGTTCCATTCCAGTCCATGCGAGTGTTGAGTGGACCATTCCCACCATTCCATATGTTTGAAAACTGTGGAATTGTAGTGTGATATCAATGATGAATACCACCATTGTTCACATCAAAATGGCAATTTCTCTGCACAAAATGTAATTTTTTCCATACTGGAAACCTTGTGCGTATTTCAAGAAGTCAACTCATTATTCACTATTTTGCAAAATCATCTGGAAATAACCAATTTGCAATGAGTGCATACGGCAATGTTTTTGTTGTTCATACTCAGTAGGAAATTTGACGTTGATTTGACGTTTAATAGAGCCAGCCATCTATTGGTTCGTGATTTTCGCGAATAGGGGGGAAATTGGCTTTCGTCTGCTAAATCTCATAACTAAGAGATCTAGGATAAACAGAGTTGCCCCAATCGTCAGCAGGAGCGAGACAGTACTGTTTCGACCCACTAGTTCTCATCAGCCGCTCTCGGTCTGCTGACAACTCGGACAACCCTACGCTTCGGGTATATCACCCATTTCGAAGATGCAGGGTATAACATGAAGTTGTAGTCATGTTGTAGCCATCTTGTGGCAGAGCTCTGAGGTAGGATACAGAGATATCGCGACATACACTGTATGGCGCTGCCACCTATAGTCACACGTACAGACCCCTACGTCTATTCGCTACAGAGTGGTACTACAGTCATTACCACTAGAGTTCCTGAATGTACTTGACACTGCAGTTTTGACGTTCATTGTATATTAGAGTACGGTCACTATGACAAGCACTGACAATCAGACATAACCACAAACGATTTTGAAGCAAATCATATGTTTAGCCAGACAAGGACACAAATATGTTTTTCTCTTAGATAAAGGATCCTCGCATCTTCCATCTTTTACAAGTCCTGGGAAGAGTACAATCATATATCTATCTCTGTCTTTGATTTTTGCATGAGAGTGCATAGCGTCTCTTCGAGTGGGTAAAAGGGTATGATAAAGTGATCAGAAAATTATTTCTTTTCGAAATATTGGATGATAAGGCTGAAGGACCTCAATGGAGGTCGATATCAAGTTGGTACTATCACTATGAAATAAGTCTCTCATATGTAGGTATATATATATATATATATACGTTCAGTTGAATATTTTTTTATCACAAAAATTCAGAATGGGGTGAAAACTGATAAATTTCAACCAATGAAACATACTTTTATTTCGTATGGAACAATTATTTCACTTGTACAAGAGTGGTAGGTAATAATTTATTAATAAATGAACAAATAATATGGCAACAAATGCAACAATAACAGCTGATTTCAGTTAGGATGAATAATACAGGTTCTCCAAGACATACGGAAGTAGTTATAAATGGACCTCAGCGATCGACTGACTATAGATCGCCGTTCACATTGCTAAAGGGGATTGTTGGTTTGAACTCAGACATCGGAAGATAATTCTCAAGTCGTTTCCTTTCAAAATATCTTCGAAATGAATTTCATTATCTGCAAATTCTTCGTTTCTTGTTGGTTCTAAATTGGAATAAGGTTCTTTTCGATACTCGCTCAGTTTTTAAATTGTGGGTTCGGCTCTTTCTCTCAATACGATCCTATTCTTCAATATCAAATCTTCCGTTCTGAAGTGTACCTGATCAAAATGCGTTAAAAAATGTTCTATATCCTATCAAGGAATTTGAATACCTTGCAAATTTTGTGGCCTGAACGTATATTCCATGCCGGCCGCATCATATTTTGTTTCCATTTTTGTAGAATTACATTATCCGATGGAAATTCGAATAGAGTGAATTGATTTCCCGTGTTCTCACAGTTGGAAACTGCACGAAGTTGCCTCTTTCTCCTAATTCTCTCAATTTGTCAAACCTTTGATATTTATGCCATGTACGTCCGTGTACTGTCCGTTCCCGCTTTTTCCATCAATTTATTTGTGGTTATGTCTTGATTGTCAGTGCTTGATGTCATAGTGTCCGTACTCTAATATACAAAAAAACGTCAAAACAGCAGTGTCAAGTACATTTAGGGACTCTATAGTAGTAAAATGGTAGACAACGAAAAAAAACCACTACATTCCTGGCTATATGCCCTGTAGACACTACTCACCTCTGTAATCACTTGTTTTGGGACAACTTGACTGCACAATAGCGCCTGCAACTTCTTCAAAACAAGATCCGTCTCTTCACCGAGCGAGCACTGCTCTTTGACCTGATAATTTTCCACGCAAGTTTCGTACAATTTCGAGGTTATTTCCATTTGGAACGGCGGCATTTTGTCCAAATATTCGTAACGAAGCCCGGAAAACAGGAAGGAACCTTTGGGTTTCTTCGTCTGCTCTTCGAAATAAGTGTTGTTGATTTGGTTGTATCCCAGTTTTTCCTGACGTCTGTCTTTGATCGTGTCATCGCCATCGTCATCAAATAACACTTTTTCATCTTTATTTATTGAACTGAAAGTATCATCAAGAATTACTTCCATCTGGATAGGAAGCATAAGAATTTTAGACCTTCAAAGATACTGTGAATGATTGGTTTGTTACCAGACCAGACAACACATACACATCCATTGGATGTCCATTTTGTGTACATCAGGTGACGGAACGTCCGTGGACATCCATTAGACAACAATTTTGTGGATGTACAATGGGTATTTGAATTTCTACATCAACTATATATCCCTTACTATTCTAGTCGGATCATTCTTCAAAGATTATGATGAAATTTCATAGATTTTTATTAGAGCGAATTCAACACCAGATTTTTTGTAGGTGCTAGATAGATGTTTTCATTTCAATTTAAATTTCAGTCCAATCAGACTTACAGAAGTATATTAAAGAATTATATAATTAGTCATTAATCCTAATTATGTGAATAATTGATAGACAGGCTGTTCCGACTGAACCGCTTACCTGACAGTGTTTCCAGTTTTTTTAATTCGTTCCTCACGCAACTGGATCATTTGCAACTGAGAGAGGTAAGACCTCACCAACAATTTCATCGCCTCACTGGCGCCTCTTTCATATACGACTTTCGTCAAATCGATATTCTCTGGTTTGGAGAAATACCGTTCGAAATACATTTCTAGCGTTTGCTGAAGTACCAGGCTAGCCGAATTGCTGTCGTTGCCTATGCTGGACGGCAAATATTCCAAAAACACCTAAAACATGTCATTGATACAAATGGTCACCTCAGTGGCAAAAATGTCCTTTACAAAGATACAAAATCTTCAAAACTACATACAGATTGTTTGCCCAATCGTTGCACATAGCGCATGTGAATGGCAACATAGCAAGAGAGGCTGATTCGCCAGTGTTGTCAGGTCAAGAATGAGATAAGCGGTAGGCTTGACATAAAGAAGCGGTAGACTTGACATGAAGAAGCGGCAGATTCAAAAATATAACAGTAGTTATAGTATGAAAATTGAAGTTTTTGACAACTACTATAATGGTTTACTAGTTACGTATTTAGGTAGGTAATATACATAAGTAAAAAAGGCAAATTGATAATAATCATCAGTCTTGTATGAACTCACTTTAAATCATAGAGCTTCAAAAAAAATAGCTCGGACAAACTAGGGTCCCTTGATGCAAACTGACGTATTTGTCATCTTAACAGGGTACGGACAGATCCTCGTCTCCTCTCACTCTAAAGTGTTTGTGAAACAGTTATATAGTTCCATCTTTATTCATTCCATGGGATAAACACTAGAATTCTGACATTTGTTGTTTTTTAGGTTATATTGAGGACATTGGCGTATCTTACGTAATTTCCACATGTAATTTCTCATTCAACTCTACATATTATATCCAAATGATGATGATAATTTTCGAGTTTTTGATTTCTCAACTCCAGCATAATCTTTGTGAGCAAATTTTTCTGAAAGTTTAATACGTTTTACCAAATGGGACTGTTCTGAGGCAGTACCTATCAATAAATGAATTTTGATTTCAGACTAAGCCTTATGGTTGAGAAATGGTGAGAAATTTTATGTAGGTATTTAAACTGATGTGCTCATGTTCATGTTGGGAATCATTTTTGCAGTTTTCCACAAACACTTTAATATTTCCTGAATGAAGGTATAATTTTAGACACAATGAGAAAGTATAATATGTGATTTCGTATTTGCTCACCTGGAATATTTTGCTGATGTATTTACCAATTTTCCCCATTCGGTCACTTCACTTTCCATGTTCTTAGTTCATTTGCATTTGATGGAAAGCTGACAAATTCAAATTTGCCATCCAACTGATTGATTGAACGCAGCACATTTTACCATATTTACAAAACAGACTTGAATAATGTCGTATTAAGATCATATAAGAGATCAAAATTTTGTAAGATCTCGTTTAACGCCTATATGAATGTGACGTGACAGCATTGTCATGTCAGGGACGCCAATACACGAAACCAAAGTCACTAGATGATTAAAAGAGAAAGGAGCTATGATCTGTCCGTACCCTGTTAGATGTCAATTTTGTGTTAGGCCCACTATAATAACGGTGAACATAGCGGAACAACTGTAGATCTGGCAACACTGGCTACCAGAGTGAAACAACCGCAAATCTCTGTGACTGATGACCATGTTGCCAAATGCCACCTCTTCTTAATACCCCTATGTATTGATTCGATAAACAATCTGTATACGAAGTGTGTTCAATTACAGACTGGACTGACTAGATATTTTCTCAAAATAGAATATGTGACTCGAATCAAGAAGCGTCTTCAGCATCTCAATATCGTTTATTTTTAAACTGATTAATGATAGAGCTTCCAGTACAACTGTATGATATGTGCAACATATTAGAATCGTTTCATTTTTATACGTTTTCAATTTGTTGATATATTGAAGAATGGAACCTTTGGCAGGATAAACACAATACACTGTTTTAAAATCTAAAAAATTTTCCATCAAATTGGGAGTATGGACAATTTTTCAATATTTTGCAGAGGTTTGTTTGTCACCTTGTATAGCCAGAGGTTACCATGTATTCTTATCAGCGGTCTATTTGTCATATACCCGATGAATCAATCTTCAGAATGAAGAAAACTGTATCCGAAATTCCGAATAAGTAGAAATTTCGAGAAAAAATTTTATGTTGAATTTGATGCGGTTCGATTGATCAGCAGTTTATATGTGGGCATGAGGGTTGATGATAAAATTTGTGCTGATGAAGTTATTTTTTTTTTAGTTAGTCTTGTCTTTCAGAGATCACACCTCGTATTTATGGAATAGGTCAGTGAGGGCATACCCTGATGATTTTGTTCAAATTAATCACTTTTTTGTCCATCATAAGATTAACAAAAAGGGAAGACAGCAGTTCAGGACAGTAACTGATTAACAAGACTGTCAATTCAGAAAAAGTAGTCACCGCTTTGTTTTTGTTTTGCACGCTGTACGTAGTTTCGATAAGAAGATCGTAATTTTCCAGAATCAATTGGCACAAATTTTCCCGTGATATTCTGTCCAATTCTTCTGTAGCCAGATTCGTGTTGCATTTTTGAATGTACAGAACTGTTAGAGCCAAATGTCTCTCCGCCATTTTAGAATAATTACTGAAATAAATAAAATACAGAAAAATAACAAGTAGGTAACGTTGAAACGACTGCTTGAACATACTCTGGTAATTTGTTAGTCAGAATATTTATCAACTTATCTGTTGAATACTCTCTGATGATTTTGCTTTTCAAAATCAAATTCGGTAGATCCTGGTAATGGTCACTTTCCAAAAGATCCAGAATCGACTCGGACAAATTTTCCCTCGAATTGGAACCGAAAATTTTCTCAGCATCAAGTCCTGACCTGACTTGCAGTAAATTTTTCTTCAAATAATGCATCAGACCTTTGGTAGACTAAAACATCGTATATTAGACTTATTGTTGTGAACACAAATAACAATGTTACCTGGTTACCAGATTGTTCCTGCACTTTTTTAACTCGTTTGAGTACTTCCGCTGGTAGTACTCTGGCCATTTTGTAATATGGGATCGCCAAATAGTAGTCGTCCTCGTTATTACACCTATCAAGGGGAAATATTGAAAAACAGCTTGGGAAACCCTGAATCAGTTGAAGAAGAATTCAAACGTGCATTCAGTTATTTAATAACATAGGCAGTTTGACCTCAAATAAAAATGATTTTCAGGACTTGACAACCATTTCGAAAAGCATTTTAAGATATAGGTACTACAAAATTTTACAAAAAAAAATAATGGTTAGGTTGGAAATTATAAGGTCATTCCATACGATTTCTCAAAATAATACGTATAGACTTTAAAAATTTCATAAAATAGATTGCTCAACTTGCTAAAGTTGTTGTTGGCTTGTTCTCTACTCTCATATGACGTCATCAGAAAGGAATTCCAAGAATTCAAGATGGTGGTTTCCTGTAACCAATATAGTGCCAGAGATGAAATGAAAACATATAGTGAGATACAAGGCACAACAAAAATCAGATGACGGGTATTATGAATGAGATATCGCAAGTCATTCTCATTCAATTTGGATGTTTGGTGTGACTTTGTGTACTTGATGAAGACTTTTGTGATCGAAATTCGCCAATCCATAAGTGTGTTAGAGTATAGAGACTCAGTTTTCTATTTTCAATAATCAATTTGACAAGTTGAAATTTCAAATCGAACAGTGATCGCGTCTAAAGAAAGATATAGAGAACCAACCAATGAATTAGACAAACGACAGAGAAACCATATGTGTTTTGATAAGGAATAATTCATACAGAAGGTTTTAGTGTGGAGGACGAAATCAGAATTCCAGAAAATCTACCAAATTAATCTCATCCAATCCTGGAACTTTGTTGTCAACCTCGGTTTGTTCTTCTAATCGATCATCTTCAATCGGCTCTGTATTTGAAAAAAATAGACCATTACAATTTCCAAAAACTGCCTAACAGCAGCCCCAATCTCCGGAAATAGCATTGTGACCCACAACTATTTGTACAATAATTACCAAAAATCCTGTGTAAAAGACAATACGGTAAGGCAAGGGCAGATCTAGTAGAGTTCAATCTTTAGATCTTTGAACCTAACCCTGTCAGCATAATACATACAATAGGTCGCGTGCACGATGACCGACCCTGGAGGTGAAATATTGAAACCCAACCTCAATCTTCTGTGAAACATTGAAACATAACCTCACCTTTTTCATTTGTTTACAGAGAAATCATAGGATTGAAATAGTCTTTCACAATGTTTTGGCATACGAATCGTGTTTTTTGCGCTATTCATTAAGTCAAGCATGCCTTTGCGTTGTGCTGTTGTACAATGCACAAAAAATGCAGCGAGAGACGAAGGAATATGATTCTTCAGGTAAATAGTAATCTTACATCGTTTTCATTATGAAATTTTGTCATTTCTTATTAAAATTCTTTCAGCCACTTCTCCAATAGAAGCTAATACTGCTAACAGATTGAAAATGTCTACAAGACACATGATCATATTTCGTCAGCATGTCAGACCAGTCCTCCCGTTTGATTGCATGAGTCCAATCATCTCGTATTTTTTAGAAATCTCACGAGTATTTCTATTAGTTCCTATTGCAGAAGGAATTACCAAATTTCAAAAATGAAAACTATATGTGAGTTACTATAGTAGGTACTTACTTTTAAATCATGATGTACCAACCGGATTCCTTCGAGTCCTGCGGCATTTTTTGTGCATTGTACAGCAGCACAATGTGATGGCATGCGCGATTTAATGAATAGCCGAAAAACACGATTCCTATGCCAAAATATTTCTGAAAAACTATTTCAATCACTTGTAAACAAATAAGAAAAGTGAGGTTGTGTTTCAATGATTCACCTCCAGGGTCGGTCATCTGACAGTTCTTGCACGCAACCCATAACTCTGGTCTAATAATCATTCAAGAAACTCACATTACAAAATGATCTCCCAACAGAGCACACGAAGTCCTGTACGTGTCGATAACATCATCGACGTTGCACTGCTTCTGTATGATCCTCCTCACGCTTTCCTCTGTCATCGACCACTTCTTCAACAGCAACACCATCCTCTGCACCATATGGGCCTCGCCCATCAAATGACAATAAGTCTGCACGGACGTGAATCTGTGAGCGTTGGCGACGATGGAGATGTCGTTGAAGATCATCTTCGGGAAGGGCAGCTCCAGGTTGTAGAGGGTGAGAAAGGAAGCGTTGGAACTGCTGTTGGAGCTGTTGGAGTGGGCTGGAGATGTTTCCGAGTTGGCCAGAAGGACCATGTGGTTTTCGGATAGGAGGATTTGTTCCACGCCCAGAAACGGCCTCAGGCCTACCAGACATATTGGGTCGCTCACTGGAGGGCAAGCCTACAGGACAATGGTCATTTGGTGTCATATATTCCATGGGTGTTCCCCCACTGCCTAACTACTATCTAGACCACTATATGTCATATCCCAACCCGAATTGCTTGCCTGAAAACGTTTCTGCTCAATGTGCAGGAACTCCCACACTGCCATTCATGACATCCAGTTATGTCTTGCGGTTTAGTTAGTAATTTATGTCAGTAAAGATCCCGAACTGACCATATTTTCAGCCATTAGACATTTGGTATTGTGAAGTTGGCTACAAAGTTGTCATATGTCAAAAATCGGCGCCACTACCAAATGTATTCTTTTTCTATCAGATCGAGAACTGTTGAATTGTTAATTAATGGAGATAGGAGCAAGAAAAACTTTCTGCACTCTTCGTTTTTAAACCAATTATAATTGACATTAACAAAAAACAAAGCTTTCATCAAATGGCATTCAATTTGCTAGTAATTGCTACTAATAAATAGCACAATGTCTGACATGTTTGTTGGAAACATTTTGTGAGCGTTTGAAACGATGGAGATGTCGTTGAAGATCATCTTCGGGAAAGGCAGCTCAAGATTGTGGAGCTGCTGTTGGAGCTGTTCGAGTTAGCAGAGTACGTTTCCAAGTTGGCCAAAAGGACCATGTTGTTTCGGTTCTACGTCCAGAAACGGCCTTAGGCCTACCAGACATATTGGGTCGCTTACTGAGAACATTTTGTGAGGGTTCGCAACAATGGTAACTCCAGGTAGATCCATGTAAATAATATTTGACAACAGACAACGCACTCGCCAAAAATGACATTCAATTTGAGAGTAATTGTTACCAACAAATAGCACTAAACGTCCAACTCTTTCCAAGTAAAATATGGACAATTGTGAGGAATTTTCAAAAACAAAAATTGTTTCCCGACTTGTTGAGAGCATTCAGTCATTCGAATTTTGTTATTTTTTGTAAAAAGACGCCAATCAACCAATCATGTGAAATTTCAAAAAAATAACATTTAGGAAAGTTTTCACCCATAACCACATGAAGAAAAAAATTCTGACAGAATATCCCTCTGACATTTATAAATGCCTCAAGATTGTTTGACAAGCACGTTTGTTGTTAAGTAGCCTAGGGAGAAAGTTACAGGTTTTTGAAGTTTCATTAAGGAAAAATAACAACCAGTAGTATAGGAGCAGTAGACCTGATATTTGCAACCATATCCCTATCACTGAAAGTGAATGGATTATTTTTATGGATCAGACTATTTGCCTAGTTATAATTTTTATTTTCAGTGAATAGTTTTCCTGTAAGTTGATGGATTGATCCTTAAGAGAGCACATCAATGAGAAGGGCAACACAATATTTTATAAGTCACTCACCACATTCACATTATCCACGACTTCAAAATTCCTGCACATCTGATGGCCATGTCTCAAAGTATAGGACTCCAGACCCGTTTCAGTAAGGGCATGCAGGAAATAGTCCTCCATGACCAATTTGAAGACAGGAGCCGTAAACGGATATACCGCCAGGCAATTATCTTTGTCAACACATGGATCTACAATAAATCAATGAGTTACAATGAAATAAAACTGGCTAGTTTAAAGTTGAACCTGCATCATCGAAATAGTACAAATATCCCTCTTGTTGGGTAGCGATGATGCAAACAACGCTGTTCAGGCAACTGCTGAAGTCACTGCGTAGCAAGCGAGTTTCTTTCACAGAAGACGATCTATTCAAGCTTTGGTCTATGTAGAGAGGTTTCAGAATCATACTCTTGAATTCTTCCGTCACCTGTCTCTGAGCACTCTCGATCAATATGGGAATCAGTTTCAATTTTATCAGATGTTCAATTTTGTAAATCACTGACTTGCTCTGTAACAGGATTGCAACACTATATGATTCAATCAACAGTATTTATTATCATAGAATATCAATTATTGTGAGATCCAAAGCTGACAGATTTATTTTTTCACTTTTAGAGTGTACGAAACGGAATCCCTATCATAACGTGCGGAGGATAGGAAGACAAGATCGGATTTTTTTTCAACTTTTGGAAATCTTACGTTTTTGGGAATAATTCCATTGGCACATAATTCCAAAGCTTTGCCGTTCTATAGACAAACGAGTTTTGGTAAAGAGTTGTTTGACATATCTCATAGAATGTGCTGACTAGGCTTGTCCAGTTCGTCTGACTGGTATTGCTAGTGATGAAATAGAAAACATACAGAGTTACCCATTTAAAAGCGAGCCACCCTCATGTATTTTTCATTATTAAGGGAATGATTTTGACAATTTTGATTAGAAATGTGGAGGGGAAAAGGTGTATTTTGGAGCTAAGCAGCGTCTAATTTTTATTTAACACCCTTTTATTAGCTTCACCTGTATGTACAAACTTGGCAATGCATCATGAAATTTTTGTTAGACAAATGAAAAACAAAATGGCGGACGAGTATTGTAATAATGATCCGATTCTATTCAAAACTGGTATCTAGGGGTTTTCGGGGTCGGAGATTATGATTCTTTCATCAAAATTGGTAAATTCAAGATGGCGGATCCAATAGAGCGGACGAGTTTTGATATTATGATCCGAATCTATTCAAAATTTGTATCTGCGGGTTTTCGGGATCGGAGATTATGATTCTTTCGTCAAAATTTTAAAATTCAAGATGGCGGATCCAATATGGCGGAAGAATTTCGTAAGTATGATCCGATTATATTCAAAATTGGTATCAGGGGGTTTTCGAGGTCGGGGATAATGATTCTTTCGTCGATATTGGTGAATTCAGATGGCGGGTCCAATATGGCGGAAGAGTTTTGTATTTATGATCCGAATCTATTCAAAATTTGTATCATATGGGGGTTTTCGGGATCGGAGATTATGATTCTTTCGTAAAAATTTGAAAATCTAAGATGGCGGACGAGTTTTATATGATCCGATTCTACTCAAAATTTGTATTTGGGGGCTGGAGATCATGATTTTTTCGTCAAAATTCGGAAACTCAAGATGGCGTATCGATAAAGCATTTTCAGTTATGAAGAAAAAACGATTTGAAAATTGTAACTTCAGAGCTGATGTCTAGCGCCCAAATTAAGGAAATTTGTACTGAGGTAGTTTGCTTCAATAGAATATTGTTCTGGGAATTGTTTTGGTCTAAATATGTGGTAGGTGTCTGTTGAGACCTTGGTGAATAACTTTTAGGGACACCCTGTATATTCATGAATATGATCAAATGAGAGGGATTTGGTACCCAACAACCAACTATTGAAACTGTGGAACTGACTTTGTATTTTTCTCCTTGCCAGCTAGACTTTGTTGAAACAGAATCAATGAGACATAAATAATATGATGTAGGGGTAAAAGACCATTTGAACTTGCAAAAGTTGTATCAAAATAATAATAATAATTTCTGATATAATCAACTAGTGGAATAACTTTGCTCATCATTGCTTACAATTTATGAGTATATATTATGACAGTACCTGTTTACATTGATAATCTCTTGATATTACCTATATATACTATACTTACTTCTATAGGAGCAGTAGACCTGATATTTGCAACCATATCCCTATCACTGAAAGTGAATGGATTATTTTTATGGATCAGACTATTTGCCTTCACAATGGAAGGAAGATTGACAATAAATTTGTCCTTACTATTATTCAACATTTCTTCCCTCAATATTTTTTTGTAATCTATAGGACCATTATTGGCATCTGAAAAAGAAACATGACCATCACTCTCTTGATATCATGTGGTTAAACCACTTACTTAGGAAAGTGAAGTCAAGTTCCCCACTACTGTTAAAATCATTGTTATCTTTTCTGGAAACCTCTGATATTTTGAACAAAAGTACACTCTCTTTATTCATACATGCTATGTAATTTTCACAAAAAGATACATGCAATGGTATGAATGGTATATCAATCAGAAGAGGCAATTCCTCAAAGTCTATAAACCTCATCTTTGAAATATCATGTGTTTTTATTAGAAATTTATAAATGTTAATGATCTTGCTAGACATAATCAATAGATTCCCAGATACCTGAAATAAAAGTATTGCCAAATTTTCATAACAATAAGCTATAGGGAACTAAATGATAAATCATATATTTTATTGAATTGAAGGTTACATATGCTTATACCTGGCAACAGTCAATGAAGTTTGGGTTCCTCTTAACAGGAATTTCAATCATTTCCAGGCTCCCCAACTCAGATTGGTTTGTAGTAGGTGTAACTCTGCCTGCAATTCTAGCTCTCATAGGTTGCACCATTCCACATTCTGACAAACCCAAACTAACACCACTACTAGTCATTTTAGACTGCTGCAATGTTGCTATACTGTCCCAGTTGATATATATCCTGACAAAATTTATTTCCCTGTTTTGTCTATTGAATTTTGTCTCAAGAGTGGCCACATAGTCACCTAAGAAATAATGAGTACATAAGTAAACATACCAAATTTGATTGGGTGCATACCATTCAAACAGTGGACAATTTGAATCACTTCATCTACTGTAGGAAATGAGAACATGACTTCAGATTCATTTGCCAAATCTCGAACTTCCACACAGTTACTCATGAGAGCTGACAATAGGCGGTTTGGAGGTGCCACTGTACAAGCAGTGGGCTGTTCAATGACTTGAACATGCTGATTAGCAAAGTGGTGGACTGATATCACCCGAACCATTTTTCTTCACTGATGTCCTAACAGGAATGTTTGAATAAGTAAAGAGTACTGTAGGTGTGCCTTATTCACATTTTTGACGTAATTATGGGTGTGTTTTGGTGATACCTAGGAGTTTAATTGAAAAACTAGGCTAGTTCAAGTAAATTATCGATCTAAACTTCTGGGGTTGGCCTTTGGGTTGGCCCTGTTGACCTGAAATTGAAAGTATTTCAATACAATCCCAGATTCATGTTTCCAAGCGTTTACTCGCACAGTATTTGTAGAATAGACGACAAGTATACGAGAAGATCATGATAAGTATTATTAACCTGTCGCCTAATAATTCACATTTACATTGAAAAATCTTCAACAATAAAAAATCGAAAATCCCACCTAAAAGTAAATATTTTGATTGTAATCTGTGCGATGTGCTGTCACAGCTGCTGAATGTGGAATGACAAGTCAGACAAGTCGAATGTCATGATAATTATGTCATTGATGTCAATGTCAATGAAATTCCATGTCACAGAGGTGTCGTGCATACGGTAAATATGAATTATGACAACTTGAGAACGTAAATAATTTTTTGACATTTCATAGTGTCAGTGTCAACACTGAATTGAATGACTGAACGACTGAACGGAAGTAATCAGTAATCATTTGTAATCAATGAAGGTGTGTGAAGTTTACAAAATGAATGTGTGAAAAAAACATTGAAGTTGGTGATTAGATTAGGCGATATTATAGAGTATTTAAACGTTATCAACTTGCCAAGAGAACAGACAGACAATTACTGTTCAAGAGAATGATTGCTGTCTCCAAACTATAAAATAAATCTCGACAGTAAAAACGGAATTGTCAAAATGAGCAGTTCTCACGGCCTTTCCAAATTGAAAAAGAAACATTTCAGGGTGAAACATCAAAAAGTGAAGCTCTTCAGGGCTAATGAACCATTCATGTCTGTATTTATGTGGGGAATAAACCACACAGTAAGTGTCTTGACTGGATTCTTCAATAATCTTCCTTCTTCCCAGTCTCCCCTTCACTTTGTAATTGTTTATTTTTATTCAAGATTAATGAGCTTATGCACGTTACCATTCCGGTCATGCTACTACCAGACGATTTTAGAGCCTATTCAAAAATTAAAATTGATAACCATCTCTTCAATAAGTAAGTTTTCAAAAAATAATGTTCATGAAAATCAGTGGTTTCCAATGTATTGTGTTTCAGAGAAAATATGCCATCACATTTCAAAGTTAAAGAGTACTGCCCTATGGTATTCAGAAATATAAGGGAAAGATTTGGAATAGATGATCTGGATTATAAAGAGTCACTGACAAGGTGAGCTGTTATTCTTATTATACCCAAGTACTTATAACTCTCATTCTTGACTTGCAATTATTATGATTTTAAGTGGTGTTTGAAAATACCACCTTAATGATTAAAATTTATTCACTGATTATTATGTGTTATGTGTTTATGCATAAAATCAAACAAATTAGAATTCTGTTAACTCTCATGCTGGGTTTATAGATTCAACTAAACTAAGAATTAAACTAACAACCATTAACTTGAAAAGTTGAATACAAGGAAACATCTATGAGGGATTATACATTTACATCTGTCATTTAAATCAAGAATTGAGAATTTTAAAGATGAAGATTGGATTTGTTATTGTTCAGGTGGAGTTTGGTGATATTTATTTGGCATATTTTTCATTGATTCATGAATTGTGGAGACCAAAATCACCTTTTAACATCATTTTGATCTTTAATCAAAATACATTTCACATTTAATTCTTAATTAATATCAGATATGTATAAACATCCTCATGATTATTAATTTTTGATTGTTAATTCCTAATTCTTCCTTTAATTGAATCTATAAACCCAGCATCATTGATTGTGCATTTTGATGAGAATAGGATTAATAAACACAATCAGCTGAATCTGCTGATTTGAATAACTTGTTTTCTTTGATTTATAGTATTTTGTCCTATGATTTTGTTGTTTTGTTGATATTTCTTATCTAATAGGTACTTACTTATACCTAGTTGGATAAATATAGCTTATGACAATTTTTGCATTTTCCTTGAATAATGAACAATAATTATACAAGATGACTCACAACAGAAGCATAACACAAATACATAGATTTCTTCAATGATTAAGTTAAGTAGGTATATTAATTATTTTTAACAGTAAAAGGAAATGAGCCATTAAACATGCTTTCATTATTTTTCATCCATTCATTCCTAGCAGGTAGTATACTCATGAGTATTATAGAACTAGGTATCTGTCTAGACATAAACTACAATTTATTTTCCATCACTTTGTATTTGCACAAATCTCAAGCTGTTTCTCAAACTAAATAGCCCACAGAATTTTGAAGTTATAGACAATGAGCTCCTGATTTTGAGGGGACTAGATCATTTTACAAATGTATATTTTTATAAAATTAACATGAAAATGTAATGAAAAAATCTTCAATAGTTTAGGATGATTTCCAGGAATTACCACATTATCTGAAAAAAACACTGTCTTTATCTGAAATATAAGTAGGTACTTCATTTTCTATATATAGATTTGTGATAAGTTTAAACATGCCCAACCTTAGATTTGTTAAGATTTGTAAGAAAATCATGACTTTACTGATCAGTGAATATGAATTATTTTATTTATGATGTCATAGTTCTGAGTCATAAGTTGAATAAAGACAAGCAACATTTTATTCAACCTATCATGATGTTTGAAAACAAAATGATAGGCATATATAAATTCAGGATATTATTGTGCAAATTGAAGAATTTTTTTCCACAATTTGTCATAAAATAAACAGGTGAAACCTCTATAAAATCTTTCAAATCACAGTCCTGTAAGAAAAAAACACATTCTGATAAGTCAGCATTGATGATACCTTTTCATTGCATACATTTATGACTTGTTTTCATCTCATTGTGTAGGCTTTGATTACAAATGACAATATAACTGCTCATAAAAATTGATAAGGTAAATCCCTAATTTCAAAACATTCATGAGATTTGATGTTATTTACATATATCATTTGGCTAAAGCAGTTGCAAACACAGAGTTTGTAAATAGCAGCCATTTAATTAAAAAAAAATGGTAGGTCGCAATATATTATGAATTTATTTATTATAGAGGCGGTTTGTTTCGTTTTTTTATTCCTTCAGTACTTCAACAAGTGTCGAATTTTTCATCAACCAGATCATCATCTAACTTCCAATCAAAAATCATATTATTGAATAGGAATATTCTCAGATATAATATGAACATGAAAAAATTGATACATATGAAGAAATAATGAGAAATACATTGAAAATTCAAATTCTCTATCTGATATTAATATTATTTTTTTCTTGGTATATCCAACATAAAACAACTACTTTCCTGCCATGAGGAACAGAATTTCTTTCCACGCCCTGTATGATGAATATCAATTTTTCATACATCTTAAAAAAAACAAATTATATTCTTGCCACACTACACAATTCGCATTTTTTTTATTGCATCCAATTGATTGCTGATTTTGAAGGACCAGTTTGCGAAGACTGTCAAAAATCTGTGTTTCAATTGCTTCTTATGGATTCAAAGTTTCAAAGAAGAAACAGTAACATTCAATTTTGGTCTATAATGATCTTCGAAATATAAAAAATCCAACATTTTGGCACTGGAATTGTACCAACAATACGAAATACGGAAACAATGGTGCAAAGCCTTTTCTACAATATGAAGATATTTTGACTTATAACCCAGGAATTTGAAATGTAGAAAAAATAATAGGATTATAGAAGATTCAAAATTAATCCATTGAACAGGCTGATGAATCTCATTAACTTTTGATGAGCAACGAGAAAAACTTTCTAGGGACCCAGCAACTGGAAGAATACGTATTTCTTGAAGAGATTTTTATTTTTTTTGTCTGGGTCACCTAGGCCACCTATACAGGGTGACAAGAAGATCATTGGACAAGGCGTCATTTAGTTGTTTTTTAAATTGAAATTTTGAAATTCGGATCGATGATAATTATCGTTCCTTAAAACCCATATTTTCCATAAAAAAACAATTGAATATCACATCCGTTGTCACCGGAGATTAATTTAGGCCAAGAATTTTAAATGAAACCCTGTATATATTTCCACACTATATCACAAGTGGACCGCCAAAACCGCAAGGTTCTATCTCCAAAGGTAATCGAGGTATCACGCAAAAGCATTGGAAACTGGACACACTGTACTCCTGATTTTTCAGCTCAAGTTATTTCATATTTTTCATGATTTTGTCTTAATAATTTTTCATAAACTTTCCGATATAACCTGTTATTTTTTCACTAAGTTCTATCAAGTCTGCTTTATGTAGAAATGAAGCTAATTCGTTTGTTTACGTTCTAAAAAAAATAGTCCTATAATTTTATAAGGGGTTTCTGATGGTAAGATAAATAAAATCAATCAAACCATTTTGGATGTCCATAAGGTAACTCAAAATTAGATGAACGAACGGATGTGTGAAACAAAAATTAATGAGAAGGCTTCGAGGACGGTCGCCGAACTTCTATAAGCTTGTACAATCTCAGCAAAGCCTTTGACTGTGTAGACCACGAATTATTGATAGAGAATTTACGACGCTATGGCATTAGGGAAACACCATTAAATTTGTTGATTACCTATTTGGAAAATTGGAAACAGAGTGTTAGCCTAAATGGGAAAACCTCCGATCTTGAAGATATAAATCATGGTGTGCTCCAAGGCTCTGTCATGGGGCCACTTTTATTCATCATCTATATCATATATTCAAAGTCTTGAAACTATGAAAGAGAATAGAAAGAGTTATCGCGAATGCTGGATATAGAGACCACTGTCGGCCTCTTCACCAACAATATGGTATTATGTCATTTCCATCGCTTTACATACATGTATATCATCAAGGGCTGGAAATTCATAACAATAATAATAAACTACAATTTAATTCCCATCTTCATGACTATAATACTCGAGGTTCAGGTCAAGTTAGGCTCCCCCCGATACAGGTTGACAAGATCTTCAAAAAACAATCATCTACCTATCCAACTTACATCTTAAGATGATCTATCACTATATCAGGTTCTTTTGTACTGGTAGATTGATATGGCCGAATATTTTTCCATAAACATTTTTTATAGGTCACAACCTTTGCCAGATGATACTTCAGGTAAAAGTGGTGCTAAATTCTACCTGAGCTATGACAAAATTTTCATCATCAAAACATTAACCTCAGAAGAAGTGGAGAGGATGCATTCCTTTTTGAAGCATTACCATCCTGTAAGTTGATGGTTCAAATCATTTTTTTATTTCTAGGTATCGGTACTAAAACAATCAGCACTAAATCTAAAATATATATGTATTGTTTATATTCTGGGTAATGTTATCACAGATCATTTCAGAAGGATTATCAATAGTCAGTTGTTTTATCAGACGTTGAATATTCATTTTTTGTTCTCAGGATGTTACAAGGCTTTTGCATTATCACTCATATCATACAATCTTTCAATTGTTTGGAACATATTACCACTCTTCATTTATTTAATCAAACAAGGAATTAAAAGAAATGGAAAACGGTGATGGCGTAAGATAAGCATATTCTTTGATGGTTTATCATTTTTTTCCAATTAATCTCATTCACTTAATCCAACATGATATTGAATGAAATGAAAAAATATGATGACCAGATAAGCAAATTCTTTGATGGATAACTTCTTTCCAGTTAATCTTAATAATCATAAGTGCTAAGAAAGAATTACTCGGATATGTTAGAAGTAGTTCAGAGAAAAAAGATTCTTCAATTAAAAATTATTATGAAAAACTGACTAGTTTCTCTTTCTTCAGTATATTGTAGAAAGGCATGGCAAAACGCTTCTCCCTCAATATCTGGGCATGTATCGATTGACGGTCGATAACGCAGAACACTATATCGTCGTAAGCAGAAACGTGTTCTCCAATCATTTGAACACCCATCGGAAATTCGATCTGAAAGGATCTACCGTGGACAGGGAGGCCTCCGAAAAGGAGAGAGAGAAAGATCTACCCACCTTCAAGGACAATGATTTTGTTAACGAACAGATGAAGGTATTGTTGTGCCCAACCCTCGGCCCAACCCTTCATTATTTACACTAACAAGATGATCATGTGAAATGTTGAAGCAAAATTTGGATTTAGTTCTTGGCTAGTTCGTAGGCGGCGCTAGCAAAATATGGCTGATTTGTGTATACTCTCGGAATCTGCTAAAGTTCATGCATCTCCAAGTTGCTGAACTATCTGAAGCAGGAAAATCACTATAATTGATACTCTGACTTTTAGATAATACAAATATTTCACTCTGGTCCCGATGCGACATTCCTTCTTGAATAAAAACATCTAAAAATACACTTTTCTCTACCCTACGCTACTCAGCAAAAAGTATTTCATCTTCTCGTTCATAGAGTTCCTAAATGTACTTGACACTGCTGCTTTTGACATTCAGTATATATGTACATACCAACTCGACATCAACCTTCATTGAGGTCCTTCAGCCTTATCATTCAATATTTCGAGAAGAAATAATTTTCTAATCACTTTATCATACCCTTTTACCCACTCGAGGAGACGCTATGCACTCTCATACAAAAATCAAAGACAAAGAAAGATATATGGATGTACTCTTCCCAGGACTTGTGAAGGATGGAAGATGCGAGGATCCCTCATCTAAGCGAAAAACATATCCTTGTCCTTGTCTGGCAAAACATATGATTTGCTTCAAAATCGTTTGTGGTTATGTTTGATTGTCACTTCTTGTCTAGTGTCCGTACTCTAATATACAAAGAACGTCAAAACTGCAGTGTCAAGTACATTTAGGAACTCTACTTCTCTCGTTCATAGATACCGCACTCTACTGAATGAAATCACTGGCTTCATTGCTCCTATGAGGATGTTTCATCTTGTTGGTGTAAATTATCAAGGACCCAACTGATGAAAAGCGATCTTTCCACCAAAACATTGCTAGTGGCAGATAAAATACGATATACACCTTGGTAGTAAATATTAATATTACCATGGGTATTGATTGTGAAACCATTCACTTCGGATCTGGAAACATACGTTTTTGTTGTCTTTTAGGTTAGCATCGGGGATGAAGCCAAATCAAAATTAATGGAAACATTGAATGCAGATGTCGTATTTTTGACGAAACTGCATTTAATGGACTATAGCCTCTTGTTAGGTAAGTGAAGTGATTGATAATCCTAGATACCATTTCTATCCCAGGTAGCTTCATCTGTCTTTCAGTTTCGCTTCTGTTTGGCGTAGTCATAAGGACCGGATGTTGAACTTTTAGTTATGGTGTATAGTAAAGGGTTTTTTTAGAGTTTTGTTTTTTGGTTTAATGCTCCCAAGAGCTTTTGTGAAGTAGTTTCGAATTTTTAGGTAATTTGATTACAGACATTCGTATTTGAGGACCATCAGAGTTGATAGATAAACTTAGTTCTATTGCCTTCCATCGTTAATTAAAAAGGTCTATTTTTTTAAGCAGAATCCAAGAACTTTTACAACCACCCTGCATTCAAAATGTTGGATATTGAAGTTTATATTATAATCCAGTTTTCTTTGGCCCAAGCAATACAGTAACAAAAACAATAAATTTTTCGAACGATCTCTGGAATTCAATCGAATATTCTGAAATACAATGGGGAAGTTTCCTTTATTGAGGTTTTCATCTCACTGTGAAGTTTGTAAAAAATCAATATTACTTTTTTTTTTTTCGTAAGATCAAATTTCGCTTCAGAATAAAATAAATGAAAGAGGAACTTGGCTCCTCCACCATTCCTATGACGTACTATCTGAAAATCCACATTCACACAGAGTTAAAATGCGATTCCCTGTGCCATTACGACGTTGCCGACATCATAAATATGTCTAGATTTCCGGAAATTGTTCTTTGAATGCATAATAACTATATCATAACAGCAATGGGATATAAATAGGTTCTTCAATTCTATTTTGTCAAGTATTATGAATAAGTCTCCCATCGGCTGAATGAAGTTGATTACTAATAAAGATAAATTATGATATTTTGCGATAATATCTATAATTTTTTCTATCCTTATAGTACAATATGTTATTCATAACTTGCCACTCATTTTTTTGCCAATGAATTCCTTCCACAATAAAACGGATATATTTTCTAGGAAAGTTTCAGATTATATCTATCTATCTATCTGATAGGCACAACAAGAGGAAGGCGCCATGGGTGTCGGCTTCATTCTGTTCTGACCGATGGCAGTAAATTAGGAAGGGTACTATCATTTAATGTAGCCGATAGTGATTCATTGATTCAATGATATTTCCATTTAGGATCGAGCTCCATTTGAGATATTCCAATGCATAAATAACAAAACCATAACCTGTAAGAATGAAACCAACTACCTTCTGCATTCCTGCTCCGAGTGAAATTGTGGTTATGTATGTTTTTGTTTACCAGTTCCACCTCTTCTTCTATTTTTTTCATTCGTTAGCTATTCGTTATGTATTCGCTGGCTATATTCTAAAATTAGAAATTGCTTTAATTAGAAATTGCTTTAATTTGAAATTAAAAACGACTTGGACTTTATCGGTCGTCATTCTGTCCAGCTTGGACATAGAATTGGAGATTTCCGAACTTATTTTATGAAAATCCATCTGAAGGAAACTTCCCCATTGATGCTTTCTGAAATTAAATAATTGACGCTTTCTACCAACTATTCTGAAATGCAATTGACACTTTCCGAAATTACCTATTTTAAAATATAATTGATACTTTGTGAAATGCGAGTGACTACTCTGAAATATAATTGACGCTTTCTGAAATACAACTAAACTACTCAACACTAATTTCGTCGCACACCAAAATGTCGCCCCTGTTATAATGTGAATAACTTTTTTCAGTTTAGAACAATTTGAATTTGGTTCACACTGTTCGATAGCCCAGTCCTCCAGCTAGAATCTCGTACTTCATTGAAACATAAGGGTATTCTCATAAAGTCTCTACATGGTGTTTTCCGACACTGTGCGAAATTTCGGAATATTCAAAAGGCTCTCAAATGGTGAAAAATTTTTTTTTTCTCAACTTCGACAACAGAGGCATGAAGATGATCTCATTACCTCGAGATATTTTGCGAATCAACTTCCTATCTCTCTTATTTACAGAGTGATCTCAAAAAATCAACTTTTTGGTTTTGCAGCCATAACTTTTTTCCACGTCAACCGATTTTGGAAATCTCAGGCTCATTTTGAAGATAAAACTTCAGGTGAAGAGATCTGAATATCAGAATTGACTCAAGATGGCTATCAAAGATCTAGAGTTTTCTTGAAAGTGACCCAAATCGGGAACGCCCTTCGAATCTTGGTTGGGAGGGGAATTGAATGAAAATCAACTTGTTCTCGGAAAAACAATTCATTCTGGATGCGTTCATATTTTCCTCGCTCTCAGTAGTCAAGAATTGTGCGTGAGAAACCACAATTGAAACATGTTCTTGCAAAAACATTAGATCATTTCTCCTCTGTAATGTATGGCCCGCCGTATCCAACGTTACAAGAATCACAATGAGTGACTGACAAACCCGACCAGCTGAGGCTTATCATAAATGGTGTACCAACAAGAGCAACGGATTTTGATTTTTTCAATAAAGTGGTTGTTTTAACAGTTGTCACGTACATAACATGCGATTTAAGAATATGGAGAAGTATTCAAGCAAACAACGTTTATTTATTGTAAAAACGCATTTCAAAAATGGTGAAAGTTACACGAAAACAGTTTGCCAATTACGTAAAGTTTTCAGTCGCAATATGCGCCGAAGGAATCGACAGTAATAACCAAACAATTCGTGTCGGAGATAAGTCCTTTGAATGGATCGGACTGTCGTGTTTAGCAGATCCGCGATTTGGAGGGAAGATAACCCTTGTTCCCTCATTTGTGGAATCAGTTCCAACTGGTCGGGCGTTAGATGCGGCATCGAAACTATCAAAATGTTTATGATTCGAAAACGACGTCTAACCTGACTTGTCAGTCACTTACTGTGATTCTTGTAACGTTGGTTACGGGCCATGCATTACAGAGGAGAAATGGTCTGATGTTTTTGCAAGAACATGTTTCAATTGTGTTTTCTCACGCACATTCTTGAGTAATGAGAGCGGGGAAAATATGGACGCATCCAGAATGAATTGTTTTTTCGAGAACAAGTTGATTTTCATTCAATTCTCCTCCCAACCGAGATTCGGAGGGCGTTCCAGATTTGGGCACTTTCAAGTAAACTCTAGATCTTTGATAGCCATCTTAAGTCAATTCTGATATTCAGATCTCTCCATCTGAAGGTTTATCTTCAAAATGAGCCTAAGATTTCCAAAATCGGTTGACGTGGAAAAAAGTTATGGCTGCAAAACCAAAAAGTTGATTTTTTGAGATCACTCTGTAAATAAGAGAGATAGGAAGTTGATTCGCGAAATATCTCGAGGTAATGAGATCATCTTCATGCCTCTGTTGTCAAAGTTGAGAAAAACATTTTTTTCACCATTTGAGAGCCTTTTGAATATTCCGAAATTTTGCACAGTGTCGGAAAACACTATGTAGAGATTTTATGTGAATACCCTCATGTTTCAATGAAGTACGAGATTATAGCTGGAGGACTGGGCTATCGAACAGTGTGAACCAAATTCAAATTGTTCTAAACTGAAAAAAGTTATTCACATTATAACAAGGGCGACATTTTGTTGTGCGACGAAATTAGTGTTGAGTAGTTTAGAAAAGGTATCATAACTGAGGTCTCATACAATGTAAATATGATTCAATTTATCAAAACTGATTATTCCGTGTCGCTACCCATCAGGCATCCACGAAGTGGAGAGGGGCGAGCAGGAGCTCGAGCGCCAGCGCGAAATGGAGGCCGAGAATCCGCCCGATTCGGACGAGAGCGAATCCGGCTCTGGGCTGGAGGGCAGGCAGTGTGCGGGCATGACGACGCCGCCCGATTCGCCGAACGCGGTCGGGCGGCTGCTCAGGGAGCACAGCCTGCAGTACGAAGGTAAATTCCACAAAATCTACCGGTATTTAGAGGTCGTCACAGGTAAGCGATCGGGCATCGTCGGTTCGAAGGGGAAGGCTGGTGGGCGGGCAGGTATGACGTTGTCTGGTCAGTGCACTTATTCATCTACATGGTTCTAGAAATTTTCTAAATCTGATTTGATTGATTGTCTTTATTACCCCAAGTAACGTTATTGTTTATAATAGGGATATATACAACAATACATACATATAACATAATAAATCGAAACAATATTAATTGTGAATGATTAGTAGATATGGATATATCGAAGACTGGTACCTTTGGCACGATAATACACTACACTGTTTTACCACTATGTCAGCATCTTCGGGAGGAGATTAAAACTAAATATCCAATTCTAGTGTGCTGCTTATATACTAGGTATATGTTCACCCATTGTCGTTCTGGATGACAACCTAGTTAGGTAGTCAGTAGGCAGGAGCTATACGTCCTCGCACTAGGTCGTCTACTAGGTTTTTATTTAGATCGACAATGATGGAAGTAAGATATGGTGTAATTACTGATGTGCTTTTGTTTCAGAAATTTTACTCGACCTCTCGAGAACAGCGAGAGCAATGGTTCCGTCGATCTTCTAATAGATGGCGACATTGCACAATTATGACATCTGTCAGTTTTGTAATTGTCGCAGATTTTTCGATTTCAGAGTTGAATAATCCCACTGTTACATATGTTCCTCGTACCTAAAATGCCATTCGCCATTTTATTTCCACTCGTCACAGCAGCAATAGCAGAGCACCATCTAGCGGAAAAATGTAGAATCAACGTCTTGCTCGTTGTGACGTAGAGAAATCATAGTAGGCGGTCGAGTGATTTTTCTGAAATTTTCAATACGTAATAATGGCCGAATACACGCACCATATCTTACTTTCATCATTAGATCGACAATGGTTCACCCAACCGTGAAAATACTAACCGTCAAGTTGATTTCACATGTGAATTCAACCAGTCGGAGATCATGATTATTTCGTAAAAATTAGAAAATTCATGATGGCGGGTCCAATATAGCGAGCGAGTTTTCTAATTATGATCGGATTCTATTTAAAATTAGTATCTGGATGATTTCGGAGTCTAGATTATAATTTTTTAGTCAAAAGTAGAGAATTCAAAATGGCGGATCCAATAAAGCAAACGCGCTTTATAATAAACAGTATTTGAAACTAATGAAGCACGTTTTATCGATAGCCAAACTAGAAAGAAGTAAAATAAATAGTAGAATTATAAAACTCTGAAGAGATAGATTGCCGAACTAAAATGAAGTAGAGAATAAATAGAAGTTCGAAAAATTAAAGAAAACACTGTTATGGATAGCCAAACTAAAAAGAAGTAGAAAATATTATATTGAAAGTGTGTTGATAGATATTATCTCAACTGAAAAAATATTTTCCAGAAATAATGTGTTTACATAGCAGAACAATGTGGCAGTATATGTCACTGAAATGAATGTCAGGGTTTCAGTCGTCAGATATTTCAAATTCTGCTGTCAAAAATATCTATTTATTTATATCAAAATGTGCTCCATGACATAATGAAAAGATGATCTTGTCATATTTACTTTTCATTTCCTAATAAATAAAACGAAATATGAATTTTATCTTGAATTGAAGTGAAAAACATGTAGGTCCATTTCAAAAATAGGAGTCAAAAGTCGCTGACGTTGAAGTTCTTATTTGAAAAAATAATGATCAGATCTTACTTATGGTATCCAATGATTCATTTCCTCTGCTTTTCAATGGCGGCGTCATGGCCTGAATCGTTTTTTTGTCGTCACTCTGTATTCGCGAGATTCACGAAGTGGGCGACACCTAGGTTACATAATACGAACTTCAAACTGGGGGAAAACAAACTGTTGTCTATGGATAAAGTGCATAGACTACATCGCATTCAGCTTGCTGTAGCTGTAGTCAAACTTGTCAATGACATATAAAAGAACAGCTACATGTTTACAATACCAAGATTGTCCTGCTTTGCATGAACAAATACAAATCCATTGTTCTACAGGAGTTCCTCTGGACCCCAACTTCAATTTTACTTCATGTGGGGAAGATTTCATCGCCGAAGTTTGTAGATGAAGTGCAAAAATGTGCCTTTTGTTGAAGTCTTCTGCCTCACACAAAATCACATGATTTGCACGGAGAACTGTTTCTCTTTCCACTACTGGTCGGCTCTCTCCGTCTAAATAGAGCAAAATATCTGCCAAATGAACATCTACAACAGGCATTATCAGCGTTTTCGATCGACTATTGACAATTAATGTCAAGAATTCAAAAACTTATCACTCTTATCAGTACACAAGCTAATGGCACTAATGGGATTGGGTGAGGATTGAGTTTGTTTTCCCACAGTTTTGACGTGGCTTTGACATGGAACGACGAAATCCGAGCGCCACCTGGTAACATTGATTCCCGCGAATTCAATAATGTATCAACATGAGATATTTTTGTTTACAAACTTAGCAGGATAATCGACCGTACAAAAAACTGTCATAATAACGTTGAGTTTTGCTTTTTTTTTCTTCTCAAAGATCAGACTATAACTATACCTACCTGCCCACTGGTATTCTCTTTCTGATCGACAATGTCTCGGCGGACTAACTGCTTGTCTGGGGCTGCTTCTGTAGGGCTTGTACGAGTTTGCATTCTGTCTGAGGGAAATATTGTTGTTGTCGTCTTTATTACCCCAAGAAAAATATATGCTTATAACAGGGATACTAAGAAAAATGAAGATAATTAAAGGTTGAATAATGGGTCCCTCTTAGTGGAAACAAATTCATACTTCTTCTCAAGATGAAAGTCAACATTTCAATTCTCTGAGTAATCAAATCATGCCAATAATTTTTCAATCAAATTGCCTGACTAGGTATTCCTCAAAATTGACTTCAAATCTTCTTACATCATGTATATTCTTCAATTCATTGGGTAATGAATTGTATAGAATTATTCCATTATGAAATACAGGGTGAGTGACTCAGAGAGGAGCTAGGTGACTACCTGTAACTTGGTTAGGTCATGGAATCAAATGACCAAAATCATGTGACAGAATGTTTTTGTGGAATTATGGTATTATTTGACATAATTGCATGGGTCAAATACCTTGTCAAAAGTGAATTTAACTATTTAATTGCAAGAAGGAGTGTATCTAGCGCCTGAATCACCTGGTAAATTCGAGGTTATATGGGATGCGTGCAAGAACTGTCATATGAGCGACCCTGGAGGTGAAACATTGAAACACAACCTCACTTTTCTTATTTGTTTACAAGTGATTGAAATAGTTTTTCACAATTATTTTGGCTTAAGAATCGGGTTTTTCGGCTATTCATCAATTCGCGCATGCCATCACATTGTGCTGTTGTACAATGCACGAAAAATGCAGCGAGAAACGAAGGAATCCGGTTGGTACATTATGATTTAAAAGTGAGTACCTTATTATTATAGTCACTCAAATATAGTTTTCATTTTGAAATTTGGTTATTTCTCTGATTCCTCATCGGAATTCTTTCTGCAATAGGAGCTAATAGAAATACTCGTTAATTTCTGAAAGAATGCAAGAAGATTGGATTCATGCAATCAAACGGAAGGACTGGTATGGCATGCTGACGAAATATGATCGTGTGTGTTGTAGACATTTTGATTGATTGATTGTCTTTATTACCCCAAGAAACATAGTTGTTTATAATAGGGATACATAAACAATATACATAGTGTTATACATACAATTATGAAATTATAATAAGATATAACAAGTAAAAAAATGCAAATAATCATGCAATATCAACCTAGTCTATTATAAGTAGGTATTCAAATTGGAAATGGAATTATCAAAGTCTCTGAAGCAGATATTTTTTTAAGTTAATTTTGAATCTAGTTGCTTCCTGTATATTCCTCAATTGACTTGGTAATGAGTTGTATAGAACGATTCCTGTGTGAAAAATTAGCAGTATAGCTTCTATTGCAGAAGTGGCAGAAGGCATTTTAATAAGAAATGTCGAAATTTTATGATGCGAAAACCATGTGTGATTACTATTTACCTGAAAAATCATATTCCTTCGTCTCTCGCTGCATTTTTTGTGTATTGTACAACAGCACAATGAGAAGGCATGCTTGAATTAATGAATAGTGCAAAAAACACGATTCATATGCCAAAATATTGTGAAAAACTATTTCAATCCTTCGATTCCTCTGTAAACAAATGAAAAAAGTGAGGTTGTGTGTCAATGTTTTACAGAAAAGTGAGGTTGTGTTTCAATATTTCACCTCTACGGTCTGTCATCGTGCACGTGACCTATTGAAATTGTTGGTTATCTCATAAGTGGCTGGGCATTTATGTACCAATGTTTGAGCATTAATGATCAAGCGATTTTTTATATTTTTGTTGGTCCTTTTGTTACTAAAATACTGCAATGGGGTTGTATAGGTCATAGATTTATAAAATTTCAACTGTTTATTTGCATAGAAAATTATACATCACACATTGCAGCAATTTGCCATTTCACTAACCTAAATACAAACAATTATTACTAAAACTCAAAGCAATATGAAGAACATCTGAAGAAGTCCAAAAATTTTAGAGAAAAATCGAACATTACAATTTTTCATTGTAATTCATTTCAGTTCATTTCAGTCAAATATGCATTTTGAAAGAAACTATTGTTGAACTGTTTATTTACTTACTATATTTTTGATGCAAAATAACTTGTGGTCAGTGGATAAAAAGATCATAATACACTCACAGACAAAAAACTGGTAATTAGTATCCACTACTGTATTCCTTTTGGTTCCTTCAGTCTATCAATTTCACAGAACTAAAATAAAAATTAGATCAGAAAATATAATTACTTCTGTGTATTAGTGAGTATGATATAATGAAGTTACCTTATTTTTGACTTGTAGGTTCGTTCAGATTTTTCAAAGTATATCCAGTCATCAAACCAAAACTTAGACCAAGAGGTATCACGTTTGAGTTGGTTTTCAGTTTTCCCAGAATTTTTGCCAATAACAAAAATAACTGTGCTGGCGTGAAATGGCTTGTTGGGCCTAATGGAAGCTTAAATTCATTTCACATGATTCTTTGAGATAGACAAGTTTGCCATGGTATATCAGAAAAAAGTCTCCTATAATGTATTGGTACTCAAGAACATCAAACAAATATTTTAAAGTTAGGTATTTTGGCATGTGTCAGGCATCAAATTCCAAGCTATAATTATTGGTTTCGTGTTTCTTTCTAAATTGAAGTTTGAACAACTAAAACTTTTGGGTTATTTGAGGGAAGTTGGCTCCAAAATAAACCCATATAAATGTTGCAGAATAACTGGATTCAATAACTCATTCATAGAATTGACCCTATTACAGTCCTGGTATATTTACCATTTCAGATGTCCTCCTTCGAACACCCTGTGTCAGGACACCTAAGCACCAAATTAACGAACATTCGCGGTGCTTGATGATTTCTCAAAGAAACATTTTCTGTGTATAAACGAAATGCTGCTGCTGCACTTTGGCCACACTCACCATGAATCAAAAGCATGTAAACAAATTAATTTTTTTCGTAAACGTGATTCATTGAAAAGGAATATTCTCAAATATATTTATGAACACAAAAAAATGGATATATAAATTTGTAGTAGGCTACTTGGGGTAGAATCACAATTATACACGTAGGCACCATAAACACTTAAAAACACTTATATTCAACTTCTGTTAGGTACAACTTGTCTCTACAATATCTGAATAATTAATGATGAGTCCAACCTTATCCCGTTTATATTACATAAAACTATATTAGTCACTATCAGCATAGCTATCAGTATATGAGTCGAGTCAGATGCCTTTCCATAGGCGGGTACCGCATTCTCCATGTGATGAAAATATTAATTCTTTCTCGGTTTATTCAACAGAAAACTTTCCTGTTTTCAATCTGCCCAAGTATTTTGAGACTACCCTTACTCACACTGTATGTAACTCTCATACCAGGTTTCTGCAGTACCTTTCAATTTATTGACTATTTGATGACAATGAAACTATGGATGGATATGGTTCCTTAACTTTCGAGCTATAGGGTGTTGAAATATCATTTTCTCTATTATTGGAAAGAAACTTTCACAATACGTTGCGGAGGATTGAGGATTTCAAAAATGATTTTAATTTTTGGGAGAAGCAAGGGCGCACAATATTTTTTTTTGAAAAATGTCCAGTATACATCCCATAAGATTGCCACTGGTAGGAGCATTGAAGAATCTTTGAAAATGAAAATATCTAGAACAGTATTGAGGAATTTATGATTGAAGTTATGAACAAAAAACGATTTTTTTATTGAAATTATAACACCCCATAGCTTGTAAGTTAAGAGGTTTATGGCATATGTTCATATGAAATTTCCTTCTTGAAATCAGTTAAGGAATCATATCTTTCATTTTTAGCCATCCATTAAATTACACCTTGCATAAAACTAATGTCATGAATACATTTATAGGTTTCACGCACCAAATCATTGTTGTCAAACTGACATTTGTCAAAAAAGCGAAACACACATAACTTGCAAAATTAAATCGTACAAAAACCTATCGAAATTCATAATTTTCCTGAAAATAGTAGACTTTTCTCCATGCCGAATGACCTAGCAGTCTCAGCTTTGTTAGACGCAGTCCGACGCAATCTTCCTCCACCGCTTCTATGCGATTTTACCACTGACATTAACTACTATTTAGACCGCTACTGCCAAATGAAAGAAGGTAAGCCAATCATGACATCGAACGGATGATTGTTAATATTTTATTTAATAGCTTAGTTAATATTAGGGTCCGTTAAACACTGCCTCACAAAAAAATTACGTATGATACGCCAATGTCCTCAATATAACCTAAAAAACAACAAATGTCAGAAATCTACTGTTTATCCCCAGAAATGAATGAAGATGGAACTATATAACTGTTTCACAAACACTTTAGAGTGAGAGGAGACGAGGATCTGTCCGTCCCCTGTTGAGATGACAAAAACGTCAATTTACATCAAGGGACCCTAGTTAATATTGGTCTTTCACAAACGTTCAAATAAGCAGAAGTGAAGTATTTTAATGGGTATGCAAAATCTATTACAAGAAAATGCAAAAAAGACTATTTTTTTACATAAAGAAATAAATTCTGTCAGTTGCATGTCATATGTCAGCAACAACTTCTTCATTTTAGTGTTATCCTATACAGGGTGTATCTGAATTACACTGAAAAAATTCAAGGGGTGTTCCTTGTGACATTCTAACAAATCAATCAAGCAATAAAGTTCTTATAAACATGTATCCTAACTTGCTCCGTTTTTGAGAAACAGGATGTTGAAGTTGGAAATATTGATTGTTTTTATTTACAACCCCCCTGTATAAGCTTTCATGGTGCCAAAATTCACTATGGATGGAGACTCAGAATGCCCCAAAATTTCAGAATGATTCTTATTGGGTTTATTGAGTAATCTCAATGGAAGTCTTGAAAGCACATACATCAAAATTTGGAGTCAAATCGAATTTTTATTCATTATTCCAGATTTTTTGAGATTTTCTCTCCTTGTTTTCATAGAATAAAAATATGAATATTATTTCGATTAACCTACAGTTACAGTATTTAACGAATTTTTATTGTTCCTCGAAAACTAAGCTAGATATAAAAATTACTCAGATGATAAAAAAGTTGTTATTTCAATAGTTCATTCACCATGAATATAGATAAATTTACCCACTGTGACGTCACTGGAAATATTATTTCGAATCTAATTGGAACACTTGTATCTCCTCTCAAAAAGAAAGATACTGCCGTGAATCAAGAACTGATGTGTTAGAAGAGACAAAAAAGGATCACACTTGGATCCAAAACATGATTAAGTGAAAGTTTGGAGAATGAAATTCCATACTTTTTTGAAACACTTGTATCTTCTATTAGAAAGATGACATTGACATGAATGTGAAACCATGATGAGGCAAAGTTTAACCACTAACATTTGCCACATAGCGTTGAGAAGTTGAGGGTGAAAGAGTAATTTTTGATCTTTGACATTCCGAAACAGAATTCTACGATATGGTCGAAATTTCACCAGAATCGGACAAGCATTAAAAAAGTTACAGGGCTATCAATTCGTCGAAATTTTTTGCTGCCCGGATTTTTTTGCCGGTGAGTGTATTATGACAACTCTTTAATGCGCATGATTCATCATCTCCAGTTCGATCTCGTGAGTGGCTCACATTCTTCCTTATAGCCTTACCGGTCTAGATAGTATAGTCTGTTGATTTGACAGCATAACCGGCGATTTTGCAGGTGGGATAATACCCGAGCTCGACATTTACGCGATACCGAGCTGTGAATCGGCGCCAGTCAAAGAGATCTATTTCATAGCCATCATCGATGTGTTGACCCACTACGGAGTCAGGAAACAGGCCGCCAAGGCAGCCAAAACCGTCAAATACGGTTCCAATGTGGACGGTATCAGCACTTGCGACCCGGAACAGTACGCCAGAAGGTTCATCGACTTCATGTCGAAAGCCATTGAGTAATGGAAGAGTAATAACCCAGGCGAACGGTATCAGAATACCCCCCTTTCTTTGCGAAAAATCCAGTAGTCGGTTTTATTATCGTACCCTATGTTTTTTGGGGGGCTGAATTCGAATCCGGAGTTATCCAACCAAATTTCCTGGTGGGTTTTTAGATATTCGGAAAAAACAGCGGAATATCAGCACTTTTCTTGGTTGTTTGCTTATACTTCAGTCCGCAGACATATAAAAAAGGGAGAAACATAACATTTTATCCATAGAACACTACTTGTTTACAATCATACATACAAGTTTCAAATACGTTAGGAAGAGATGACTTCAAAAATGGCAACGCTGTAATCTGTGCGTCTATATTCATACTTTTCTCCACCAGGTAGAGGTAACGATAGTGGCCAAAAATTGACTATCGAGACTATCGATAGCAGACATGTCGACTATCGAAACTATCGATAGTTTAGAGTTAGTATTGTCACAAATGAGGAGCTATTTGAAGTTAAATTCCAAAATTCTTATAGAATCATATTGGTTCGAAGTCATTGAACGTTCATGTATCTGTTTATTATTTCCAAAATTATTGAACCACGAACTTTCGATTAATAGTTGAACCTAAACACAGGCGTGACATTGACTTCAAACCATCCACCTGACTTCCTCACTGTCACGTTTCCAAAATATAGATTAAATATATAAAAGGCGCGAGGAAGTCAGCACAGGTATCAGTTGGATCATTCCGATCACTTTCGATCATTTCGATCTTTTCGATCATTCAATCATTTGACTCGATCGATCATTCGACACTGTGCCCGAACCGTCGGAGTTCGGGCAGAACAGAAGATGCCCTTCCTCTAAGGTCCCAGCAATATTAGCTTGTAATGTACATATAGGGTAAGTTAAGTTTTTATTTATTGTTAATCAGAAACCAAAGAATAAATGTGTGTATATGCTTTGTTGAAAACCTTTTGAGGTATTCTTTATTATTATCACTTTAAAAGTTCATTCTCTAATAGATCCAGAACACAGCTTAGGCAACCCCCGCCTACAGTTTGTGACAGTATTGAGAAAAATATCAACAGTTCATACAGGTACAGGTAGGTATCCGTGGAACTTGAAACTATATACAGTGTGACCCATTTAAGATGGAAGCACCCTTATAAAACTTACATTTTTCAACCGATTGGAATGATTTTTTTTTGTTAAGTAGATATTCAAAAAGTCTATTAGGACACCAAATATCATGAGTAAATCTCCATTTCCAGGGCCAACTAATCTGATTTTTCAAGGTCAAAAATCTAAAAAAATTACTAGCGATTTTTTTAGAAAAAATCTGACTACACCACTAGATTTGTGACATTTTCAAATGGGTAACATGTAAATTACGTTGAAATGCGTCAATCAATAAAAAAGTTATAAAGGAATGAAATTTGAAAAATATGCCGTTTAATCAACCCACCAATTCATGTTCAGGAATTTTATGAAAATTCTGTATACTCCACTGGATTCAGGATGTCTTGAAATATTACTGATCACAGTTTCATCGAAATCTGTTCAGTAATAAAAATTGATGGGTTGATTAAACGGCATATTTTTCAAATTTCATTCCTTTATAACTTTTTTATTGATTGACGCATTTCAACGTTATTTACATGTTACCCATTTGAAAATGTCACAAATCCAGTGGTGTAGTCAGATTTTTTCTAAAAAAATCGCTAGTAATTTTTTTAGATTTTTGACCTTGAAAAATCAGATTAGTTGGCCCTGGAAATGAAGATTTATTCATGATATTTGGTGTCCTAATAGACTTTTTGAATATCTACCTAACAAAAAAAAATCATTCCAATCGGTTGAAAATGTAAGTTTTATAAGGGTGCTTCCATCTTAAATGGGTCACACTGTATATAAAAACTTCGAAAACAAAATGAGAACATAATCATATCTTCACAGTGTTGAAAAAATTTCAGTTCCATAGTTAACAGTCTTGTCTTTATACTAATATTAGGTCTAAGGGTTAGAATTAACCCATAGATGAACGAAAATAAAAATGGTTCCATTAGATGAACCCTCTTCAGTAATAGAAAAACAAATGTCAATTTGTTTCTCTACGGTAAAACCTATTCACTATAATATGTGAGTTTTAATTCAAAAATTCTTCTTCATCATTCTGGATGCTCTCGATTAATGAAACCATGCATATATTTATTTCCTTCTTCTGATTTTTTTTCTTAGTTTTTACTTTTCTAGCTTCTTTCCATGCTAATTTCACCTACAGGCCACTTGATGGCCACACTCGTCAGTGTACATGACTATCGGATTGTAACTATCTAAACTATCGATGTTTCGATAGTTTTATAACTATCAACACTATCGATAACATCGCTACCTCTACCACCAGTCGCGTAGGTTAAGCGAGGGGCAATATAATTTTACGACAATGAGGACGCTATTATATTTATTAGAAAAGTTTGGATCTGATCTTTTAATTTTAATACCAAATATTCATAGTACCTCAGGTACTTACCTAAATTTGATCCATCATTCAGTGGAATTCGAAAAAACAAGGTTTCTTGTAATAAGTTAGTTAACTAACCTGCGATAACTACGCCACCGCTCAAGTTAAATATAACCTAACTCGCCGTCGAAATACCAATTTGGGGTTTGTATGGTGAACTTTTTTAAAATCCTCGCACTGGCGAACCATAATAGACTATCAATAATAATTATCTTTATATAGTTTTATGACAATTGAAACAAAAACAGTCTTAAAATGGTAACAAACACAGCACATCAACACGGTAACATCGGATTTTGACATATAAAATAAGAAACTCATAGTAAATTTTATTTGATGATGAAATTAGGAAAATTTAAATTATCTCAATAGTAGAATATATTCAATATACAGGGTGATTCACATAAGAACCGACATAGAGCAGGGGCATGTAGGGGGTCCCAAAATATGGCAATTTAATGCAACTTACCTCTATACCAAGTTGCTTCCCTAAGGAGATATAGGCTTTGTAAGTGAAGTTATAAATTTTGAAAAAAATCAATATCTTCGTTATTCTTGAACTTAAAGCAACCAAATTTGGTACACTTTGTGGATGTATTTAGGGCGTTACTTGACAGTAACTAGAGTTCAATTGAAATCTGTAAAGGGGGTATACCGGGTGGCGCATCATTAATATTCAACATTATTTTGTTAACCCTTGATAGATTTCAAAAATCTTTGCTTTGTTTTGTGGGCAATTCAATTCTAAAACTTTTCTTACTCTAGTAATTTTTCGAAAAACCTCATCATTTTCATCAAAAACTCGAATAACTGAAAACGCGCGATCTAGGTGTGTTATTTAAAATCATCGAAAATTCAAATGTTGGCAATGAAAATAAACGTCAAACTTGTCAATGAGGCAAGTGAGTTGTTCAATTAAGTAATTGTTGTTTGAGTGTTTTTAAAATGAACGGGAAGTTTTCTTTTAACGAGCAAGTTGACATGCTGTTAGTGCTATGCCTATAACTCCTTAGGGAAGTAACTTGGTATAGAGGTAAGTTGCGTTAAATTGCCATATTTTGGGACCCCCTACATGCCCCTGCCCTATGTCGGTTGTTATGTGAATCACCCTGTATAATTAAGAAACAAACATACAGAATGAATATACATAAAAAATGTTTATTGTATAATTCAAATGACTGAGAAGAAAATAGTGGACAAAGCCCTACGGTGACAATAAAAGTTCAGAAGATAGGCAACAGTTGGTGATAAATGCTTCCCTCGTTCTCAAACACAGGCGGTAGATCT